TATTAAATATGTGTTATGTATTTGTCATTCAACAGGTTTGATCAATATGAGAAGACACCTTGACCAGATGGCAGAGGCTGGGGCGGAGCAAGTCAAGCAACAGTCATCACATCCTACACTCATCTTTGTTTAAAAGTGCTTTTTAGTCCATCGATCCCAGCGTGCTCTCTATAATTAATGCTTCTCTGGTCTCTGGTCAGGTCCCTGCTTACTTTAATAATGCTGTAATCCACCCGCTTCTTAAAAAACCGAGTCTTGACGCCTCTCTCCATAACAGCTTCAGACCCATCTCCAAACTTCCGTTCATCTCCAAGATCTTGGAAAAGGTTGTGGCTAAACAACTCACAGCTGCTCTTGATGAACATAACATCTATGATAGCTTCCAGTCAGGTTTTCGTAGCTCATTCTACTGAAACAGCTCTTCTTAGGGTCTCTAATGACCTTCTGACTCACAGTGATGCAGGGGACTGTTCTGTTCTGATCCTGCTGGACCTGACTGCAGGGAAAAGTCATGGGCTTGTGACTATAACCTAATTTATGTTACTAGTTTGCAGTGTAACTGTCTTTGTACTTCAATATGCATATTTGTTCATTTAATAAAAAAACGGCCACTTTGAGATTTATACCCCATTGTCTTTTTTTAACTATTCAGAAGAGCCCGTCCTTGCACAGTCAAAAAAGTAACTAAGTAACTTTTACTCTGACTACATTTGAAATAAGCTACTTCTTACTTTTATTTGAGTACATTTTGAGGCAGGTAATTTTACTTGTAATTGAGTAAAATTTCATGAAAGTAATTATACTTGTACTTAATTTTAGTACTCTTTCCACCTCTGGTGTCCAGACATGAAGTTGAAATGCCTTTATCTCATCCAGTCTAGATTACTGTAACACACTTTTCACATGTTTTAATAAAAAAATCCCTTTAGTTGGTCCAGAATTCTGCAGCGAGGCTAAAACTGGAGCAAACAGAAGAGCACTAACTGAGTGTGGTAAAGCTCCTCCCTATATCACTGAATATATCACTGAACTGCTAAAGCTTTATACTCCAACCTGAGCGCTCAGGTCCACCCACCAGAACATTCTAGAAGTTCCAAAGATCAGATATAAAAGTCGAGGTGATCGCTCCTTCAGGGCTGATGCACTCTGACTTTGGAATACACTTCCTTTATTTTTATGTTGTATTGCCGTCTGGACACCTTAAAATAGCAGCTTTTACTTATAATCATTTTTATTAAAGTGTGAATTTTTTAATTGATATTATTTTCTTTTCAAATACTTTTAATCTTTAGTTTTTTTTGGTCTTTATTCATTTGATATTTAGTTATTATTTTATTATCTTTTGATTTTTATGGAAATAAACTTTATTTACAAATATCTCACAAATTGAATCCTAATGAAACTTTCAAATGGACGTCTTCCACTTTTGTTGTCAACCAAAATCACGATAACTGCCACAGTTCATTGACCTTAGAACGACACACCAATGGCTACATAAGCCAAACTGAAATACTAAAACCTTATGCAGCAGCAGCTATAAGTCATTCACGACACTTATTCTGACCAGGCTGGACTAGGCTTGGTTACGAGGGCCGATTCTTCCCCGGGCCGCTCTCTGAACCAAGGAGGTGAGTGAGAGGGTGATGCTACATTGAAATCTATCTGGACAACCTTTTTCACCCCCAGCATGATGCTGTGGAGGCTTTAGCAGCTGCTTCAGTGACAGGATGTTCCATCCAACATCAGGCAGGTAATTCACCCCATCGGTAGTGAAGCTTTACAAGCAAACCATTTAAACTCTCTTTTTGCATTTTTTCTTTGCACTGTAAACATAGTTGTGTAGATTTGATTTAAATACACTTAAATGCATAAAACAGCTTTTTTGTAAGTTTTTGTTCAAGTTTGATGCGTGCTGTTATGTTCCTCTATTACCAGTGACAGAGCTTGGTCCGCATGGCCAGCAGTAACTCAGGCTCGTTTCCAGTGAGAGTTGGACTTCACCAAGGCTGCCCTTTATCACCGATTCTGTTCATAACTTTTATGGACTTTTATGAACTTCTAGGCACAGCCAAGGAGATGAGGGAATCCTTTTTGGTGGCCTAATGATTGAGTCTCTGCTTTTTGCAGATGATGTTGGCCTCTTGGCTTAGGCTGCTGCCCCCGCGACATGACTCCAGATAAGCACCCGAAAAATGGATGGATGGATTTGTTGAAGCGTTTTTTTCACTACTTTCACTGATCCCTGTTGGGCATCAATAAATGTGTATCACGAGATGGAATGAAGTGTTATTCTTGAGGTTTGACCAAAGAATCCTAAACGTCTGATCTTTTACAAATTATAATAAAACATAAATGACAGGTAATGTCAGATGAATTTAAGGAACGACATAATGATAACCTCTTCTCTATGTGATATCTGGCATGCAGCCACCAGATGGCACTGTAGAGCTGTCTTACCTGTTCTGTAACAGCAAAGTTAAATGATTAAAAACCCCCTGGATAAGATTTGGAATAATCACAATAAAATGTTGTGTTGTTAGATTTGTAGAGTGTGAAAACATTAAATAAAGTATAGTTTCACACATATTTTATTACAATGAATTTCCTGTGCATTCTGTGCATCAAAGACCTTGAACATCTGCAGTGGCCTCAGCCTGATTTGTTGATTTGCGTCGTGTAACAAAAGCAAACACAAAGTAGGGTGGTCTAATCCTACAAGACATGGACACTCCTTCAAGTTGAAAGAGGAGTATGAATGATGCTATAGTGCCCATGAGCAATGTAATGTTGACCTGCTCTTCTGTGTTCCGCCTGAATGTGAGAAGGAGAAAACTGTTAACACGACTCTTTTTATACTTCTGTTAGTTTTGATATTAGACCATAAGACTATGGTTTCTACTCTTCAGGTGACGAACTTTGTTAATAATTTTGGTTAAAAATAACAAAGAAATTATTTGAAAATTGTTCTATCTTTACACTAAATAATAAAGTAAACCTTTGAGGAAATTAGTTTGACTTTCATATCTTGTGTAGCTGCTGTTAAACAGTTTACACCATTATTATGTTTTTTTTATTAATTATCAAACTGATTTGTAACAGCACCATTTTGGTTGTTATTATTTTGTAATCTGTTTTTTGTTATGTGGTAAGCAAATTAGAAATTGGAGCCATTTCTAGACAACAGCAAAAACTTGAATAACCCTGTACTGGAGTGTCTATCAGCGATCACTAGCTGACTGGACCACTTCCTTCAGTTTAACTCTGAGAAGACTGAATGTCTGCTCATTTCCCCTGAGAGCATGGTTCCTGTGATTAGTCAACAACTTGGTCATTTAACTTCTGTCATCAAGTCAAACTTGAGGAATTTGGGTGTTTTTGATCAATCAATGTCTCTTAACGAACACTCAGAAACACTGGTCCGAAACAGTTTTTATTGTTTGAGAAATATCTCCAAAGCACAAAGGTTGGTGTGACTTTAGTCAACAGTTTGGTCACCTCCCGCCTGGACTATTGCAACTCATTTCTCTTTGGTCTGCCCCAAAAATGAATAAATAAACATCAACTGGTTCAAAAGTAGGCTGCTCATATAATCACCAGAACACCCTATTTGGATCACATCACCCTTGTTATTCAGCAGCTCCATTGGCTGCCAATAAAGTTCAGGGTCCACTACAACATTTTAGTCCTTACATATAGGGCCATTAATAATCTTGCCCCCTCTTGTCTCTCACAGCTCCTACAAGTCACTAAACCTTCTCGCATGCTCAGATTGTCTTCTTCCATCAACTTAAATAATCCACCAGCACGTCTTGTCACAATGGGATACCGAGCATTTAGCAGATGGGCACCCTCCCTAAGGAACTTATTACCTGCTCATCTTAGGAACACGACTACCCTTCACCAATTTCAGGCTAATCTAAAAATGTATCTGTTCAAAATAGCTTATTCACTGTAACTGTTATTAGTGTTTCATCTGATGTTTTATTTGGGTTTTAAAATTTCTACTCACTGAATGTTTTAATTAGTTTATTTTTAACCTGATTGTACAGTGACCTTGAGTTTTTTGAAAGGTGCTCCAAATAAATTGTGTTCATATTATCATTCAAGAATTTCATAGATGTGTTGCTTTTGGACAAGTTGTCAAGGGTTTAAAACAGGGGACAGATGAAGTTGTGGCTCTCAGATGGATCCAAAAGGATGACAAGGGACCAGAGAAGCCAATTTATTAAAACATCTCAGGGAGCTGAACAGAACAACCTGATTATGTTTATCATGTTTATGTTTATTTAGCAGACGCTAAAAGCGCCTTACAATTTATGACCTATAGGGCACGTTGTGATCTGTGGGGGAAACCGGAGTACCCGGAGGAAACCCACGCATGCACGGGGAGAACACACAACTCCACGCAGAAAGGCCGCAGTCGAGTTTCGAACCTGCAACCTTCGTGCTGCGAGGCAACAGTGCTAACCACTACGCCACCATGCAGCCTTACAGGGCAATCAGGAGTTTATATTGTTCAGAAATTTCTGGAAAACGGTGCTTTTGGTGAGGTTTACAAGGGTTTAAAACACGGAACAGCTGAAGCAGTGGCTCTGAAGTTTATCACCATGGATTATGTTAATCGATCACTTTGAATATAATGACAGCTTCTGTTTAGTGTTTGAAACATATTACATGAATAGATTTGGTTTATTTCAAATGAGAGAGGGGGAACCACTAGATGTCAGTCAAGTCCAGGTGGTTTGCCCACGACCTGCTGGTGGATCTGAGTGAACTCAAAAAAGGGAAGAAGACAAATCAAAATACGCCTGATTTCATTGTTACACAGACTTTGGATACAGAGGTTGATTCTGATGAGGAAACTTCAAAGAATGGAAGCATTCAAAAGAACTCCCTGTAGTTTGAGGTGGGGTTGTCATGGTAACCGGTGTAGCGGTAAACCCCGGTAAAAAAGTTGACAATAATAACTGTCTTGTTTAAAAAAAAACTATATCATCTCTGTGGATTACCGTGGCTGGGTGTAGGCGTAGTGACCCTTACCAGCCACCGTATCATCTGCTGAAGTTGCCGGCGGCACATGCGCACTTTGTTGTTTACAGCCAAAACTTTTTTGAAGCTAAAGCTGAAATAATGGCCAAAGGAGGAGACCGCAGTGCTCAGGACATTTATTATCCCTCAAAGACGACAAAGAGGGAAGTATGGGCATATTTTGGATATTTGAAGAATGCCGAGGGACAGTTGATAGAAGACGGCTATCCTGTTTGCAGCACGTGCAGAAAAAGTGTCTGTGAAAGGCAGCAACGCTTCAAATCTCATGACACATCTGCGTGACCATCACCCACAACTCTACAGTCAACGCAAGGCAAGTTAGCGTTAGCGTTTTAGCTAAAATGCGTGATCCGAGGATTTGGGTTGAGGGAGAATGCAACGAGTGGCCTCATAAAGCAGCCGCAGCGCCGCTACCTGCATATAAACCGTGTCGCGGACACCCCCATGTTGAAATGACGCTATGCATTACGGGGCTCCCAGGGGCAGATAAGAGTTGGTCTCTCTCCGAGAATAATAATGAATTTAAGAATGATTGCTGCCTGATGACATTTTCCCACATCTGCAAAGCTCACTGGAAGGACACAAACCGAGGACAATATTTTCCTGATACAGGGTTTATTACTCAAGTTAGGGTAAAAAAAAAGTATCTGATTAGAAGGCTACTTAAGTACTGAGTATCATCTGATCTAATATTTTTAAATGATGACATCAAACAGACAAAAAATAAGAAGTTATGGGCAAATATTGGTATTTTAAAGACTAAAGGGGAAATATGTAAACAAATAAACAACATAATTACAAAATAACAAATTGTAGGCAAAATTTAGACAAACTGAGGACAATATTTTCCTGATATACAGGGTTTATTTAGTTTCTTGAAAATTTAACATGTTTAAAAAAATACCGCAATAATACTATAAACCGTGATAATTTTGGTCACAATAACCGTGAGGTTAAATTTTCACAACGTGACAACCCTAGTTTGAGGTTGTCACCATCTGTCAAGGGGAAAGAGTAATAAGACATAATTAGGATGCAGTTTAAGTTTTAATAACTTTTATTTCTATCTAATAAATTTCTAACTTTCCCTTCATGTAAAGATACAGAATACATTCTTAGTGAGTGTAAACTAGTGTCTGATTCAGCTTTTTAGCTTTCAGTGCAGTTTTAAATATTTGAAAGAATTCTATTACACTAATGTCCGTCTGTGAACATCAGAGTGGTAGAGGACAAACGAATCTTCATGAGAAACATTTTTAACTTCATTTGTCCATGCAGCTCTTTAACTCGCTCCAACTCCAGTTACTAATCCATCCCAACTAGAGGAAGCTGTTTTTATTCTGAGACGGCCATGGTGAGTTTAGTTAGAGATGTAGATCATTTCACAGACAGCAGCAGCATTTGGCATATCATCAGTAAAGTAAAATGTGATCATGAACATGAGTAATTATTTCATTTTTTCAGTTAAGCCACATGATGCTGACTTCCGTGACCTGCTGAAGCATGCTACACACTCAGGATAACCATGGTAACACGACGTGTCTTCCAGAATAACCAGAGCTGAATCAGGACGTCTGAACAACAGAACCTTCACAACGTTGGTACTTACTGCAGGACTGTTCATTTGCATCTGTTAAATAATTTACCACTTACGGTCAGGTTGGGATTAGAGTCTTTACTTGAAGACAGAACAAGAAGAATTATTAACAATGAAATAGCAGCATAAATAAATAACTAGATCATTAATTAAAAAGTTTCAGGTCAAACTGCTGCCTTTGCATTCATGTCCATCTTCATGTATTCACATGATCCTGAGTGGTGATGAGCAACAATCAGTTGGGTGGAAGCAGCTGGTCTGGTCAGTGATGGAGTAAATGCTGGTAAGTGGAGTGGTGCAGCTGGCTGGGTGATGGGGCCTTTTACAGGATCACTGGTATTAAAAGGAATGGTAAGGGAGCTAAAATCCCTCCAAAAACACCACCCATCTGTACTGGTGCTGGAGCGTTGGTGGGGGTTTGCATGTTGTGGTGCTAGATGATGTGTTTCTTTGTTTTTGTCTCTTTTCATCCGGGTTCTGGTGTCAGAGAGAGGGATCCTCTAGTCCTGAAGAAGTCTGGAGCTTGCTGAGCTCACTGAAGCAGAAGTTCTTTTGTGGGGTCTCGTGAGACTAAAACATGTCAATGCCTGACTGAAAATGTTTGTGCAGGTTGAACTTATCACACAGTTTTCTGTTATTATGATCTCTGGCTTTGAATGAAGAAATAAATAAAAAATGTTTTTCTTTTTTGACTCACATATGTTGTTTTCTAATAAGGTTTTAACCAGAAATAGCTTTATTTAAATTAACATTTTAATAAATTTGTTACTATTTTACACTAGTTGTTAGGTTGGAAGCACAATCAGCAGGGTTATAGATGCATTTACAACCACATGTTTTCCCCCAAGTCATTAAAAACGTGTTTTAAATGAGTTTAGATCATCTGATGTTCCATCTGACAGCAGGCAGAGAGAACAGACAGACTGAAGATTAAATCCTGGAAACAGTTATCTCTCCTGCTTGGTAGATCTGAATCTGAGGCTTGTGACCCTCCAAAGGGGTCCCCACAACTGTGTCTGTGCTGAGGTTGTTGGGTTACAAAGATTATTTATTATTTGTAAAAAAAATACTCTTCTAAAATCCCAATTACACACCCAACAGTGTAATCAAAAATCTGTATAGGAGTTACAACACTGCATGTCTGTGCAGTTTGTAACTAACCACTTGTGATGTGTGTTTGTAGATGGGGTTGGGGGGGGGGGGGGGTCCTGGCTTGTTTTCAACACTGGTACGGGGGTCTTCATGGTAAACGGTTGGGAACAATTGATCTAGATGAAATATGGTGTTTACTAATTAAAAAACTATAGAAATTTTAAAGTAGTATATTTTATTCTGAAAGTATTTACAGGAAGTGCCAATCGTCTTGTTTAGCTTGACATAAACGCTGTGGTAACAGCTTCTGTCCGCAAGAGGGCGAAAAAATCCTTCATCGTGAAAGTCAGACAATGAAGGGTTTGCTTGTTTCAACCATCGACATATGGTTTCTACCAGCTGATCTGAAAAATTACATATAAATCCCTTCAGTCAAATGCTGATTACAAATAAACCAATTAAAAATCAATTTAGACAGAAACATGTATACAAAAGTATTTCTATTTGGTAATGCTTATTTTTGTGCATTTTGTTTAGAGTTTTATTTCTGAATTTCAGAGGTTATTTTTAAAGTTACTGATGAAACAAGGACCAGTAAGTAGACTGGATGCGGTCAAAACTCCAGAAGATGGTAGTAATGCAGCTCTGCTGCTAAACAGCTCTTTAATACCAGGACCGTCAGCTTTAAAACAGGTGTTTATTATAAAATACTCACCTGTGTCAGTATGTTTTTAAACTACTGAGTGTGACTTTTATGTTGTGGTTTATTAACAAAAGATTAATGGTTAATAAGTTTATTATAAGATTAAACTCAGACACATACAGGATTATTGATGTTTCACAGATAATTTCAACTACTGTGAATATTTGATTACAGTTTCATTCTGATCGTGATTCGTTTCAGCCGCAAACATTCCGAGGACGAGGACGTTCTGCAACGTGCTACCTGATGGTGACCTGCAGTCGAGAGGACAATAGAAGCTCCGGGTGTTTGTGGAACGTCAGAGCTTGTGTGTGTGACAGAGCGTGTGTGTGTGTGAGTGGTAGGTGAGTCTGTAACAGTAACTGGTCTGGCTCAGGTCAGGATGGGAGAACGTGTCCATGAGTTGAACCTGCTCCAACGTCCCTAAGCTGGCCTCTCGGATTGCTGCGTAGAATTTCTTCTCCTCCCACGATGGTCCAGTCCAGAAACTGATATCGAAGCTGAAAGGCTCTGGGTGCAGAGAAAAAGGACAGAAAGGCGTCCCGGGAGGTGGGCCATGTGAAAACTGTCTTATGAAACGTGGCTCGTGAGCAGAGGTGGAAAGTAACTAATTACATTTACTTGCGTTACTGTAATTGAGTAGATTTTTTGCGCATTTATACTTTTTAAGTAGTTTTTAAAATCTGTAATTTTACTTTTACTTAAGTACTGTTTTTTGTAAGTATTGTATTTCGCTACATTTTTATCTTATCCGTTACCGAGTAAAAAAAACAACATTGCATAATACTGTGTCGGCACGGTTCGCACTGGATTCAGACATAACCACAGAGAAGAGAGACGAGAGTATAAACACTCATAGGCGGAGATCCCAGGGGGGGCGGGGGGGGACGCGTCCCCCCCTCACACAAAGTTGTCCCCCCCACAAAAGTTATTGTAAACACATAAATGCTATCAGTAAACCTGTATTTTCTTCTAAAACCACAATGTAAAAGTTAGTCTGCAAATACAAAACAATGTGCTTTAATTGTTGAGAAATTATAGTGTCCCCCCCCCCCCCCCCCCATCCCTCAAGTCGGTACGGTCGGTCCACACACTCTGTTTCCAACGGGCAGGGCTGCCGGCTCTGCCTCGCTCACAGCTTCACAGCAGCCCGCAGGCTTACAGGAGGCAGGAATCAAAAAGCCAGCGGTTTCCAGCAGTAAGTCATTTATCACACGCTTGTTCTACAAACTTAAATATGTATGTCAGATGTGGTCATAAATGTCAAACATAGACACCGATTATCTTTAGATTTTGATCACCGGTCGGAGATCCCTTTATGACAGACCACCACCACCACAGTAAAAAAAAAGTTGTCACTTCATGTTCTCTGGTCATTCCAGGATTATTCCACTATTATTATTCCATCCACTAAGGTGATCAAAAGTTCCTTTTTCCGGACACGTACGCTTTCACGGTCTGCCCCTGGAATCTGCGGAGCATTTATAGATCGATGAAAATGTTCGCGTTTCATCCTATTTAGCTGATGAATATGGTAGAATCAAAACTTACTGGTCCGATGTATGGAAAACCACAGTGTTTAACCGCTCTTATCCCGTCTTCCCCAGGCTCTGCAGTTGTTTACAATATGTCAAAGTGCAGGTGCACCGTGCAGCTTAGGGATGAACTGGTTGCAGCAAATGTGTGGTGGAGGCACGTTGCTCAAAGCTCTCAGTGTAAAACATAGAGCCAAAGATCCTGTTGGCCACACAGACCCAAAAACACTATGAAAACTGAGAAAAGTGAGAGATCGATCTTTTCGTTCAGTAGGACTTAGAAAAAGTTATTAAATATCGTCTTGTCTCGTCTCATCTTCCTCCGCTTATCCGGGTCCGGGTCGCGGGGGCAGCATCCCAACTAGGGAGCTCCAGGCCGTCCTCTCCCCGGCCTTGTCCACCAGCTCCTCAGAGTTATTCTCTAATAGCCTACAAACATTTCTATGATTTTTTAAAGAGATTTCAGTCATTTTGATACTTGACTTGTGAAAGCTGATTTGAAGTTTGTTATTTTTTCTAGACATATTTAGAAGGAAAATTTCAAATATATTAAAATCAATATGGAACTATTTGGATTTTAGTAGCTGTCATGTTATGTGATTTAATAAACTTTTAATTTGACATTTATGTTCTCTCTCTTTGTTGTGAAAAAGTTAGATATGTTTTAGTACTTAAAATTAATGCTTTGCATCCGTCCACACGTGTAGCTGTTGGTCAGCTAATAGCCATGTCATTTCAGGACATTTTACTTCAACTATTAACAATCTACTTTTAAATCTTTATTCTTAATTGCTTATTCCGTTTTAGGCCACAGTCGTGTTATTGAAATGAAAACAAAAAGAAAGGATGCTTATGGAGATTTACAAAATTGGCAAGATATTATTGTTGATCAATATCCTCCAGCTCTGTTCTAATGACAATATCCCGTCTGTGTGTGTGTTGCTGTCCAACTTTCAGCAGACCAGTTCAGTTGAAATGGCAGAGAAACGAAAAACGGCAGATATCAGGTCGTTTTTTAATGCTCCAGAATGTCAAGTAAGTAGAAACTTGCATTTTGATAAAGGCATCTATAAGAAAGAAATGAAATAACTATGAAAATGTTTCTAAATGGTTTCATTAGGCAATGTCCAATTATGGGGAATTATGACACGTCTCTAAATAACAACCCATAGAAGCACTGATTTGATCTCATTTCAGAGAAAAATAGAACAGGTCAGATGCACCTAATAAATAAAATTACTAACAAACTCAGGAATCGGTTTCTTTGCTTCACTGTTCTGGTGCTGAAAATATCACGAATGCGGATCAAAGGAGATACACAGATGAATGCACCTCTTACTTATTATTTGGAGACTACATTTACTGCAGCTGGCAGAGGCAGAGATTTTTTCTATTGATACACGGAATTTACAGAATCATTTTAAATTTGAATAGGGGAAGACTGCAGGAGGGAGCGGTAAAATACAGGGGCTCCCCAGCAAAAACAAGAAACTTTACGAGTCTGATGAAACCTGCTGGTTTTCCATCAGGCAGTCACGGGGCAGCTCCAACGACCCAGTGGCTGTGCTGGGTCAATGTTATCGAGCTCAGTCCGGCTCGGCAGAGGGTGAACCAGCCGAGGCGACGTCGTGCTCTGCTTAAGAAGAAGTGTTATTTTCCCGCTTCAGAAGAAGCGTCCAACGTGTTTTTACGCTTTCTCCGAGACATGTCACGTCGCTAAGTTGTTAGCGCCACGCGCTAAAACGTCAATGGTAAATGGCCTGTATTTGATATAAATGGCCTGTATTTGATATAGCGCCTTCTAGAGTCCTGGAACCCCCCTAGGCGCTCTACAACACAATCAGTCATTCACCCATTCACACACACATTCATACACTGGTGGGGATGAGCTACAATGTAGCCACAGCTGCCCTGGGGCGCTGACAGAGGCGAGGCTGCTGAGCACTGGCGCCACCGGTCCCTCCGACCACCACCAGCAGGCAACGTGGGTTAAGTGTCTTGCCCAAGGACACAACGTCAGTGACAGACTGAGCGGGGCTCGAACCTGCAACCTTCCGATTATGGGGCGAGCACTTAACTCCTGTGCCACCGTCGCCCCAATAGTGCAATGTAGCCTGCTGGAAGTTTTAAGGGTTCAGATGAAAACACCCGACCTCAGGCTGCTCACACATCGATCTTAAGTTGTCGCTGTTGCGCTCACGCCGTAATACAGTATTAGATGCGGTTAAAGACAGACACGAAAAAATAAATAAATTTTACATGAATAAGTGATGCTTAGCCTGGTGGGGGGAGGAAACCTGGCAATCATTTTTATTAAAGTGTGAATTTTTAAATTGATATTATTTTCTTTTCAAATACTTTTAATCTTTAGTTTTTTTTTGTCTTTATTCATTTGATATTTAGTTATTATTTTAATATCTTTTGATTTTTATGGAAATAAACTTTACTTACAAATATCTCACAAACGTCTTCCACTTTTGTTGTCAACCAAAATCACGATTACTGCCACAGTTCATTGACCTTAGAACGACACACCAATGGCTACATAAGCCAAACTGAAATACTAAAACCTTATGCAGCAGCAGCTATAAGTCATTCACGACACTTATTCTGACCAGGCTAGACTAGGCTTGGTTACGAGGGCCGATTCTTCCCCGGGCCGCTCTCTGAAGCAAGGAGGTGAGTGAGAGGGTGATGCTACTTTGAAATCTATCTGGACAATATATATATATATATATATATATATATATATATATATAGAATTTCTTGCTATTTCAGCTGTCAACTTTAATTTTTCTTTAAGTGTTGTCTCCCCAGATGAAGACAATAATATTTTGCTGAGCTGTGCTGGCCTCATGGAGGGGGCCATCGGCTTGAACACTGTCGCTAACCACTTAAACATTCTCCCTCTCCTGATAATAACATTTTAGTTTCGTTGACATTGAATGTGCTACTACTATTTTAATTTAATTATAGATTCACTAGGATAAATACAATAATGTTTATTTCTCACTAAATAGAATATTTACTAAGAAATCACAATGTAACAATTGAAACACTACTTGGTTGTTTGCTTGTTTGTGTGTGCGTGTGCGTGCGCGTGCGCGCGCGTGTGTGTGTGTGTGTGTGTGTGTGTGTGTGTGTGTGTGTGTGTGTGTGTGTGTGTCTGCTCTGTCTTCTCGATCCCCAGTGAGTCGTGCTGGATGGCTGCTTATACTGAGCCAGGATTCTCTGGAGGTTTCTACCTGTTAAAAGGGAGTTTTCCTCTCCACTGTCGCTAAATGCTTGCTTAGTATGACGATTGCTGTAAAGTCACTGACACTTTTACACAGTTATTTGATGCAATTTGCTGGGTTCCTCATATAGGAAACTTTTTACTGATTGGCTTAAAGAACTGCTGTATTGGAATGTTTATTATGTGAAGTGCCTTGAGACGACTCTTGTGATTTGGCACTATATAAATAAACTTGAATTGAATTGAATATATAAGGCCTATAGAATTAACCTATTGTATTAACCTATAGTATTAACAGCTTACATCAGCTGAGAACAGAAAAATCACTCGAAAAGGATCCAGTGGTATTTTTCTCAAACCGATAAAAATAATACAGAATCCATTATAGACAGAGTATGTTACGGCAGCGTAGAGCTGCCACCCTATGCAAAATAAAATTGGAGCGATATCACGTTATAACATATTAACTTTATTGTTCTAACAATATAACTTATTTTTCTAACAATATAACTTTCACGTTTGTACAATATAATTATCACGTTTGTACAATATAAATATCACGTTTGTACAATATAACTTTCACGTTTGTACAATATAAATATCATGTTCATACAATATAATTATGACATTCGTACAATATAATTATCACGTTTGTACAATATAATTATCACGTTCGTACAATATAATTATCACGTTTGTACAATATAATTATCACGTTTGTACAATATATATAAATAACACGTTTTGAGTGAGTGAGAAAATGTCTCGTCTATCGGAACTCATTAAATTCTATTTCATGCTTGGATTGAGGCACGGAGAGATGTTGCTCTTGATGAGCAGCTTGGACGGTATTGAAATAAGCATGCGGACGCTGAGAAGGAACTTAAAACGCATGGGGCTGTACAGGAGGAAGAATGACTCCGATCCGCTGGAGGTTGCTGCATTTCTCATAGATCAACTGCAGGGGTACGGGAGGCTTTATGGATACAAACTACACCACCTGAACTGCATTCAGGCAGGTTATGTTGCCACGCAGAGCACTGTGAGACATTTGCTGAAATATATTGACCCTCATGGGGTTGCGCAAAGACACAGAAATCGCCTAACGCGCCGCACGTATGTTAATCCTGGACCGAATTTCATGTGGCATGTTGACTCCTATGACAAACTAAAACCATTTGGAATCTGCATAAATGGAGCGATTGATGGCTTTTCAAGAGTAATGATTTGGCTTCATGCCTATTCAACAAACAACGATCCCAAAGTCATCGCAGGTTATTTCATCACAGAAGTTGAGAAGAGGATGGGCACAGCTGCAAGGATTCGCTCTGATTTAGGAACAGAAAATGTCATAATGGCTGAGATGCAGAGATTCCTGCGATGGACTCAGGATCAAAATGTCAGAAACAGTTTTATCACTGGGTCCAGCAATCACAATCAGCGAATTGAAGGCTGGTGGGCGTTTCTGAGACGGCACCACGCTCAGCACTGGATGAATCGTCTCCAGGAACTAAAGGACAAAGACTGTTTCTCTGGATGCTTCTTGGACAAGCAGCTCATATTGTTTACCTGCCTGAACATCATTGAGGTAGGCCACCACGCCTGTATTTACCCGCTAAGCATGTGTGTGTGTGTGTGTGTGTGTGTGTGTGTGTGTGTGTGTGTGTGTGTGTGTGTGTACAAGACCAGGCTTATTGTGGTAATGTTCTGGTCATACTTAAAAAAGCTTCCATTGTTGACAACTCCATTTTGCTCGCGCCACTGTTATTCGTAATTATGAGTACATTTTTTTCATAAAATCTGATCGTTTCCCTGACTGGCTGCATGTGATGCTTGTGGGTTAAAATGCTAAACCAAAAATCTTGATATTTTACTGATAGTGGATCTTTTAAATTGCTAATATTTTACAGGAGGAGCTGCAGCAAGTTGTGCATTTGTGGAACACCCATATCATCCGCAGAAGCAGACATGCAATTGCTCCAAGTGGACGTCCAATTCTTATGTACACCATTCCACATCTTTTTGGAGGACATGATCATCTGAGAGAGGTTTCTCAGGAGGCAGTGGATGCATGTAAAGAAGAATGCCAAATGAGAGGACCATATACCTGCGATGAAACAGTATTCAGCCTGTGTTGCCTTTTCATTTCAGAGAACTTCTTACTTCCACCAAGCACAGCAGATGAAGCCATTGAACTGTATCTCTTCCTGAGAGCCTACATACTGAAGGACTTATAAACTTCAAAAAACATTTGGAATGTATGGAAGTATTGCAACATATTTGCATATATTTATACCATATTGATATCATTGGCGATCAAATGTCCATGTGATCACCACCTGTGTTTAGTTTCTTTGATACTTTTTGTCCTATAGTAAATGATACAACTAGAATTCAAATTTAGAGAAAGATATGTTATCTGCTTCCTTTTTTGAAAAAACAAGAGAATGTTATTTTCTGAAGTTAGATTTTAAAACTAAAGGTAATCTGATTGATTTTGGGATGTTATCTTTTCAAATCTGTCTTTTCACAGCTTTATATAAACAATATTGTTCATTTTTATATGATTTTCCGAAACAGTCATGGGAATTTCCTTGGTTTTGTTTCCTTTTATCAAAAGCCTTTGCCACCTATGTTTATTAATGCAAATTACAACTTTGAAGTAATTGAATAGTCAAAAATAAATTAATTAATCAATCAGTGGCAATGGAAAAAGGCACTGAAGAACCTTAACCTTTCGTCTTCTCAAAACATTTTAATGACTTCATTTCTGCTATATCTGATTTCTATTTTCAGATTGATGAGTAACCATTTTTTTAATTTCTGAACATGACAGTTGATATTCATGACATCTGTGTTTCAGATTCAATAAACATATTGTAACGTGAGGAAATATGGGTTTTCTGACACAATGGTGGTGTTGGACGCAGCAAGGTCAAAGCTGGGTCATTGAGAACTTTCACCCACAGATTAAGACCTGAACGCCAGCGAGTCTGGGAGGAAACCATAACATCAGCCACCTGCAGTCTACCAGAAGATGTGTTTACATGAGTTGTACCCAGACCAAGTCAAAACATAAAGTTTAAACTTCTTTTTCTTGATTTTAATGTTAAAGTTACCATTATCATTTTGCTCATTATAAATGTGTTTAATCAAATGAATGGTTCTTATGCTTTGGGGTAATTATAATGGATTAATGAATCCACACTTAAGTAGATAATGTTGAGTGTTTGTTACTGACCTTCACACACACTCAAGCACACAAACATTCACACACACCCACACACATCTTCCCACAGTAAACTCCAGACACATTTGATGACGCACATGTTTGCTTTGAGAAGAGAAAGGCTTTTGGTAAGTTTCAGTCTGATGATTTCAGTTCGTGTTGGACTACGGAAGAGAGTGGACCTGAAACCAAAGGGGGGGCAGAGCCGGCTGGCTCGTTCTTCCCCCCTTTCACGCTGTTTCTGCCAAGCCAGGCAGAATAGCTGAATCGCAACTTCTAACGCAGACTCATTACCGAGTCTTTTGATTTCTGAGTGAATTAACTTAAGAAAGCGCGTCGACAAAACGCTTTACCATCAACGTGTACCGAGGGCAACTCTGGACCGGTTCCGTTCGACACCTACGTCTCCTGTCAGCCGCCGGTGTCATCTGGATGTACCACAACATCCTCCACGGCCCGGATCCGAAAGAGGGTCCACAAGAGTTCGGTGAGACAGAACACGGTGTTTAGCGTTTGGATGCATCTTTTCCAACTAAACCTAAGTTTATTCAAACCATCACTTTTCACTCAGACACCTGTTTCTTCCTGAAGCAAAATCAGATGCACACACGCATCCATAATCACATCATATCACTCTCACAACTCACAACATTCTCAATCTTCATAAATTCACCAGAAGGTCTATTTGAGCAAGAACAACATATCAACTGTTAAAGATTGTCCCACAAAGTTGCCAATGTGATTGTTATTTCCTGTTTGTCAATTTTCAAAATCATTAGTTTAATTTGAAGAATTAAAACTTTTAAATTGTCAAACTGGTTTCCTCATTGAACTGAAACACAGACACTCAGATATTATCGGCAGTTTATCGATGAAAACAACCTTTGAGTCTTCTGAACAATATAAAATTTGGTTATTGATTTATTAAAAACTAATATTCCGAATTAATACGTAGCATGGTTCCTCTTTCATAAAAGAGCATAGAACCACAACGCTACATTAAATAAAACTGCTATCAACTTTTGAACAGTTAATGTTACGATTCAGAATTATTGAACAATAAACAAACGTTGTTAGATATTAACCTTCCTTTTATTTGAATTCAAGAAGAAAAAATGCACTCTTGAGAAGCTACATAATTAACTTTGCCAATGGCTATCTTCTGTGTATCTTATTCCAGTCAACTTTTGCATCAATCCACAGACTGACATGCAAATTTGTTAAGACCTTCCTGAACATATTTTCTAAATCAAATAACTGGCACACAGTAAAAAAAAAAAAACTCCTGAAAATAATCAATAGTAATGCTTGAATCATTACTAAAAAACATGAGCTGTAACAGACATCTTTATAAAACAGACCTGTTGAAACCTTGTCAGATCATGAAAACATTATCATTATAAACACTGTCCAACTTTCATAGTGTATGAACGGATTGAACATGCTTCATTTCGAGCAGTAAAGCTTTAATGTATGAAACTGTAAACTGAAATGTACTTTTTGATGATGGAGAATATGTGGCATACCCTCCAAGAGACTCAAATATATTCAAAAGCCTTTTTGGTTACTGTGAATGCTGTGAAAACATCATTGTAAAATGCTTCTTTTTATTTTTGATGAAACCGGAGCTCGTGCTCTTATTTTGAAAGGCACACTTGCCTTTCTCAACAACTTCCGGTTAGCTTAACGTGTGCACTCGTTTTTTTTCTAACGTATGAAAGGAAGCTGATATATGCTGAATACGTTCAGATTAATATAAGAGACTAACAGCTAGCAAAACTTGTTTTCTCCCCTCCCATTCGGAGCTACAAGCAGGCAAAGTGGTTAGTAGACTTTGTAACCTTTATTTGTGATTTATGTGTTATATTTATGTAAACATATTGTTTATTCTGTCGGTTTGTAGTTCTACGGTGGTTTATGGTGCTGCATGATGCCAGCTTTGCTAGTCAATAACGGCACAAATAAAGAACGCCATCCGTAAAAAGAACTGGAGTCCTCGCGTGCTTCGATGGGCGGCATAGTAGAACACTTCACCACGCAAAGGAAAGGTGAAGACTCCATATGAAGAGCGAAGTGTGCCAAACCGTTGAGGACGTCGGGTAGAGGAGCAGTCTGCAGTTGAAGATACATCGTGTCATCTGGTGAACGTTGTGTTGAGAAGATTAAAGGAATAGCATGGACAAAGCTTAAAAGGTGGACACGTTAAAGTAAACGGGTCAGAAGTAGCAGAAAGATCCAGAACTGCCATGAACTTTTCATCACACATTCCATCGTGTACATCTTAAAGGAGCAGCAACGCTTCCCTTCCACTTGGCTACACTGCAAGAGCTAAGTAACTTTATAGGCAAATCCACTCATCAAGTAATTTGATTAGGAAAAAAAATATATAAATAAATAATAATATTAAGGGTTTATTCTCTAGGTTATGCATATAATTGCATTGTGTTTGCATTAAGATTGTGTGGAGGTTGCTGGTAATTGTATCACAGGAGATTCTTATTTGTGTTTCTGCCAAATGTGCTGTTAACATTTATTTTAAGTTGTTTACATAAGAGTTTAGACACAAGTTAAGCTCAAGTTAACGGCAGAAAATTGTTCAACCTTTATCTGTTTACTGAAATTCATTTTATTCCTTTAGTTTACAACTCTAGTACATTTATAGGCTTAAAAGTACACAGTCAGTATGTCACAAAGGGGTGATATTGAAAATATATGTACTTCACAAGAGAAAGCTGATATTAATGAGCAAGTAGAAGCAACTACAAAGGAAATGCAAGCTCGTTGAGTCACATAAGCAAGCTAGTGAGACGGTCACATCAACTGCACTAGACTCACTGTCTCAAACTAAAGATCTCCCACATTCTGCATGCATTAGGAAAAGTGAACGCAAACGAACGCTCACTGAAAAAGGACAAGCTTTAGCAGATGATCGACTGAAGGATCTGAAGGCACAGTTCAACAGAGCTTATGAGCGGTGGAAGCACAAAATAAATGGACTGAAAAAGGCCATAAAGTACAATGATAATTCTGAGCTAACGGAGATCGTGAGTAAAATAAATACAACCCAAGTTGAGATAGATAATATTTATCTTAAAATAAGAGATACTGTACATCCAGATCATCCAAATTCAGAAATCCGCAGAATCAACGATACCTGCCAATCGCTCACCAAGGTTGCAAATAAAAAGGCACAGAAGTTTCTCATCAATGATGGTACAGAAGTATCATCCTGGCCCGATGTGGAGTCTTTGTTTGAAGCTACAACATCTAATGTCTCTTTATCTTCAGGAAAGACCATACATTCAAAGGAGTATTCGTACAGGTCACAAGATGCTAGACAAGCTGCAGCAGAAGCAGCTGCCACAGAGGAAGTCCTAAAAATAATGAAAGCTCAACATGACTGTGAAGAAGAAATCTGGAGACTTGAGCAGGCAGATCAAGTGTTGGCAGCTGAAAAAGAAGCAGAGGAAATTAGGCAGAAAGCTCAAAATGAGGCTGAGAATGCAAGGAAAAGAGCTCAGTTTATTGCAGAAAGTGCAGCTAGAAAGATGAAGGTTGAGGAGAAGAAGAAAGAAGTTGAACGATTAGAGGAACTTAAAAGGCTTAACGCAGCAAAGGCAAGGCTGAAAGTGTATTCTGAAACTGTTCATAGTGACGATGAAGAAGATCATCTGTTGCCACCTCCTCTACCACAAAATCCAGCACTTTCTCAACCTCTTAGCTCACAAGAAAGGCATCCTCAAATCCTTCCAGCAAACCAATCCGTAGCTCAACAACCATACCAGGTTACAGTCACTAAAAGCTTTACTCCTCATTCACCAATCTATACCTCAGTATCTGTGCCACAAGCATCTTCATTTAATAAACCAACTGTGAACTATCAGCCCAATCCCATTCAAACAGTTACATCAAACAACCCAAATGACACAACCAATGAATTGGTTAAAACATTAGCGGAAGCTATCGCTGCAAATCGAATCCCAATTCCTGAACCTGCTGTTTTCACTGGAGACCCCCTGAAGTATACTGATTGGAAACTTTCTTTTTCCACTTTAATTAATCAGAAAAACCTTCCAAACCAAGAAAAACTGTTCTTCTTACGCAAGTATGTTGGCGGTGCAGCAAAAAGAGCTATAGAAGGTCATTTTCTGGTTGGTTCAGAAACAGCTTATAATGCTGCCTGGAATGTGCTCGAAGACAGGTTTGGCAATCCTTTCCTGATTGGCAAGGCATATCGTGATAAAATACATTCATGGCACAAAATTGGCCCAAAGGAAACTGTGGAGCTCCGTGAGTTTGCAGATTTTCTGAGCAGTGTGGAATCAGCCATGCCATATGTACAAGGATTACAAGTTCTGAATGACTGTATGGAAAATCAAAAAATAGCACAAAAACTACCAGACTGGTTGAGCTCACGGTGGAACAGAGCAGTCGTTACTTTCCAGGATGAAATCGGTGCATTTCCTGACTTTACGTACTTTGTCTCATTCCTCAACAAAGAGGCTTGCATTGCTTGCCACCCTGTTACATCTTGGCAGGCTATGAATCTAAAGGGAGAGAAATAAAGGTCAAGCGAGCAAGACATAAGAGGATCTCCAAAAGATAAAGTTGGTGCTAAGACATTCACTACAAACACAAGTGAAAGGATAGATAAGAAGTGTCTTTACTGCAAAAGGCCACATCACACTCTCCATAAATGTCGCAAGTTCATCGAAAAACCACTTGATGAAAGAGTCAAGTTTGTACGGGAAGAGAAACTGTTTTGGTTGCCTTGAGAATGGACATCACTCCAAGGTCTGTAAGTCTAGAAGTACATGTGACACGTGTAAAAAAACCTCACCCAACGTGCTTACATCAAAATCGTGAAAAAAGGGAACAGAAGCGAGAAAATAATCCAAAACAAACTCATTCAACTGAAAATGACAAGGATGGGTCTGAACAAGATCAACCGAGGGTAAACAACCAAGACAAAGACAAGAGTTTTAAACCAAAGCAAACACTTGAGTCAGATGGAGCTACTTCTCTAAGGATTATTCAAGAAAGGGGCGGAACTCTCACTTCACCAATTGTTCCAGTCTATGTGTCCTCATTGACTCAACCAGACAAGGAAATACTAGTGTATGCTCTGCTCGATTCTCAGAGCGACACTACGTTCATCTTGAAGGATGTAGCCGACACACTGGATGCCAAGAAAGATCCAGTAAAGCTCAAGGTGTCAACAATAACATCAAGAACAAAGGTTGTATCCAGTGAAAGGTTGACTGGTCTGGAAGTGAGAGGCTTGAAATCTGAAGTTAAGATCAAGCTTCCAGTAAGCTACACCAGGGAGTATATACCGGCTAACAGAGCTCATATTCCCACAAGTGAAACCGCAATGTCCTGGCCTCACTTAGAACATCTTGCAGAGGAGATGTCGCAAGAATTAGATTGTGAGGTAGGTTTGCTAATTGGTTATAACTGTTCTCAGGCTCTGGCTCCAAGAGAAGTCATCCATGGAAGTGAAAATGAACCCTTTGCACTCAAGTCTGTGCTGGGTTGGAGCATTGTCGGGTATAACAGTACTGTCAATGATTATGAAGATGAAATAGGTGTAATTCACCATATCATTGCTAAGCAAGTCATACCACTTACAATGCCTTCCTCTGAACTCAAGTCAGAAGTCCACTTTTCTGCTAGAACCCAAGTTAAAGAAGTTATCTCCCCATCAGACATGAAAAAGGTTTTTGAGTCACACTTCTCTGAAAGAAAGGGTGGAGAAGCTCCAATATCACAAGAAGACTTGCGGTCCCTTGCAATACTGAAAGAAAGTATAAAGCAGAAGCAGGATGGACACTACCAGATCAACGCACTAAGCCAAGAGGAAGAAGTCAAAGGGAACAAGTCAACTTGCCTCCAAAGGCTAAGCCCATTCTTGGACAGACTGGGTATCTTGAGGATGGGAGGACGGTTGACCCAAGCCGCACTTCATCCACATGTTAGACACCCAGCCATTCTTCCTAAAGGACATCATGTCTCTCGTCTCATACTCAAGCACTGTCATGAGAAGGTGTGTCATCAAGGTCGTGGAATGACAATCAATGAAGTTCGTGCGAATGGCTTCTGGATCCTTGGGTGTAATGGTGAAGTCTCTTCCTTTATCTTCAAGTGCGTAAAGTGCAGGAAGTTCAGAAGGTCTAACCAAGAACAAAAAATGGCCGATCTTCCCCCTGAGAGAATGGAAAGTACACCTCCGTTCACGTACAGTGGAATGGACTGTTTTGGTCCATTCTACGTCAGAGAAGGAAGGAAAGAGCTAAAGAAATATGGGCTCATATTTACATGTATGTGCTCAAGAGCCATCCACTTAGAAGTATTGGATGACCTTTCTTCTGATGCCTTCCTGAATGCATTGCGATGTTTCATTGCAATAAGAGGCAATGTGAGACAACTTCAAAGTGATCAAGGTACCAATTTTGTAGGTGCGACAAATGAGTTCCAAAACATGATGAAAGGACTACCAGAGGAACGTGTGAAAGAACTTGGATGCAGCTTTGTGATGAATCCTCCTGCTTCCAGTCACTTGGGCGGCGTCTGGGAGAGGCAGATCCGCACTGTAAGGAGTATCCTCACCTCTATCCTCGACCAATCTGCAAGTCGACTTGACAGCTCATCACTGAGGACATACTTATATGAGGTGATGGCTATAGTGAATAGTCGACCTTTGACCACTGTCCATCTCAATGATCCATCAGGCCCGGAACCTCTGACCCCCAATCATATCCTCACAATGAAATCTTCAGTCATCATGCCCCCGCCTGGTGAGTTTGTGAAGGAAGATTTATATCTTCAGAAAAGATGGAGGAGGGTTCAATTTCTATCAAATGAGTTCTGGACCAGGTGGAAAAGGGAGTATTTGCTCAATTTACAACAAAGAAGAAAATGGACTACTGAGAGACGGAATGCTAAAGTAAATGACATTGTCTTGCTGTTGGACGACAACCTGCCAAGAAACCAGTGGAAGTTGGCAAGGATAGTGGAAGTCTTCCCAGCTGCAGACAACAGGGTTAGAAAGGTCAAGCTGTTAGTTAGTGACACATTTTTGGACAACAGAGGCAAGCGCACATCCCAGCCACTTTATTTAGAGAGAGCCATACATAAAACAGTGCTATTACTTGAAGCAGAGTAAAGGGTTATCTTAAGAAGGTGCCTTTGTTTACTGTTAGTAGTTTTTTTTGTTGTTTAACAAGTTATTGTATATAGTTTAAATGAATCACTTTGTGTGATTGGTGGGAGTGTGAATGCTGTGAAAACATCATTGTAAAATGCTTTTTTATTTTTGATGAAACCGGAGCTCGTGCTCTTATTTTGAAAGGCACACTTGCCTTTCTCAACAACTTCCGGTTAGCTTAACGTGTGCACTCGTTTTTTTTCTAACGTATGAAAGGAAGCTGATATATGCTGAATACGTTCAGATTAATATAAGAGACTAACAGCAAGCAAAACTTGTTTTCTCCCCTCCCATTCGGAGCTACAAGCAGGCAAAGTGGTTAGTAGACTTTGTAACCTTTATTTGTGATTTATGTGTTATATTTATGTAAACATATTGTTTATTCTGTCGGTTTGTAGTTCTACGGTGGTTTATGGTGCTGCATGATGCTAGCTTTGCTAGTCAATAACGGCACAAATAAAGAACGCCATCTGTAAAAAGAACTGGAGTCCTCGCGTGCTTCGATGGGCGGCATAGTTACTAATAAAACATCTCCTGAAATTTTAGCCCTTTCATTTTTCATAATGTCTTCACTGCGGAGGTGGGCTTAACAAACACATTAGCACCATGTTGTTTCTTCAACTCTTTGTTTCTAGGGTTTTAAACATGAGAGACCTTAAGCTATGCTAAACTCATAACAGTTTTTGGCTGCCAAAATGTTATCCAGTTCATTTCGTAGTTCTGGGTAGGACGTGTATGTCCATGGTACTTCCAGAACGGGGCCACACGTGTGTGCCACAGGGCGTCGTGCCAGTCCATCCACAGGTGTGAACAGCACTTCAATTTTCTGAACACAGATGACATCTGACCCAGTAACAAACCGGAACATCTTTCTGAGGCCTGCATCATCAAGTCCTCTGATGTACTGCTGCAGAAATCTGAAACTCTGCTTCTCGGCTTCAGAGATGGGAGATGCAGTGAGCAACTTCAAAAGCTTTCTTGTTGTTGGCTTTTTATCTTCATACATTTGTAGGACATGTTGTGGGCTTTGGAAAGCTTCTTTTAGAAAGTGACATGCAACTAATGAAATTTTTCTCCATGGCATAAGATGGTTTTTGGATCAACTGCTTCTGAGCAACTTTCCGAAGAATGCTTTTTAAGTTTTTTTGCGTTGGGATGACTGATACATCCAGGCGATCCATGAGATCCAGAAGTTCATCCCTGTCTTCTTCTGAAAGATCTTCCTTTAGAGCTCTTGTTATTAAATCCCGATCTGATTGGCTTAGGTATAAGAGGAGATTTTCAAACAACATATCATCTGTAACTTGATTTTCACCAAAGATAAGTGCCACTGTGAAAACAGGGGCAAGGCGACAAGGGAAATATCCATGGTCTTGAAATCCCTTCAGTAAAATTCTACCGATGGACTTCCATTCTTCCTCCTGCCATTTAGGAGACAGTGATGGCACTCTGAACTCCTCTCCTTCAGCTGTGTTGTCAACAAACTCTGCCCAAAATGTAGCATACACATCTCTTGATACACCATCTGCATCTGCTCCTTTTTCATCAATGTAGGTGTATTTTAATGGGTGTCTCAGGAGTGCTGTATCTTTGAACTGGTTGATCATCTCCTCCAGAATGTTAACCCTGTGGATTTTGATGGTGACACAGACTACTTCATATGATGTAGAAGAACTCATTGCTTCATTGCTTATAGGTGTATCTGTATAACTGCCTGGAGTGCTTGCTGGAGGAAATGTAATGGATGTGATGACCAGATCATCTCCTTCTAACTGCAGGTTTGCTTCACCTATTAATGTGTCATCAAGGTGACAAGCCAGAGGTTCTCCAAGGTAGGGACCAATCATTACCTCAGATGTGTCTGATGATGCTTCTTCACCAGAATTCCTGAAATCTGATGACAAGATCACAACAGTCTGAGAAGCTTCCTCATCTTCTTGATGTGAGTCAGTCAGTTGTGTCACATTTTCACATGTTTCCCCTCTATCACTAACTTCATCGTCTTTGCCTTCATCTTCATAAGAAAGTCTTCTTGTGCACAAGTAAAATCTCAACATTCCCATTTTAAGTATTGAGTAGAGCTCCCCAACTGAGATGTCGTCATCAAGTACAGCCTCTTCCTGATAGTCTAATACATCACATCTGAACACATCCCATCTTCCAAATCTGCTTTTTCCGTTTGGAAAGAAAAGATCCTTGGCATACTGTAATAAGTCAGCTTTCTTGGAGTCTTTGGGAACATCAAAGGTCCTTGTTCCTCCTCCTCTGCGCTTTCTCACTTGCTTACCTTCATGGATCCAGCCCAGCTCAATTTTTCTAGTCTTTTTCTGAGCCCATTTGTTGTTTTGTGCATATGTTCTTTTTCTCTTACAAGATAACTTATCCTCATGATCGGGGTTCTTCCCATTTTCATCGATGCCCATCTTTTTCTTCAATTGTTCAAGAAATTAGTTTTTTCTTGATTCCTTTGTCCTTGCATCATTATTATCCAAACAGAACCGTCTTGCAGCTATCCTATCACCATATGTTGGGATGTAACCAGACAGGGTCTTATCATCCATGAAATCAATCACTGTGGCATCAATCTGAAATAACAGAGACATTTATTACTTTACAAAGAGACACCTACTGCCAGTCACAATACATTTAATTAATGAAGCTGAATGTAATTTTTACTTGTGCTATGACAATGATTTGTTATGCCATTCTATGAAATTCTATTATTTTTATCCTCAATCTGTGCCAGCAGTGTTATTAGATGCTCCACATAATTTATTCTACAGAAAATTAAACGCTCAGTTCATTTGGAAAAAGCTAAATCAATGTTTTACATATCTTTCCTGGTCAAATCAGCCCTCATGAGAACTCGTAAAGAAACGGGTTTTCCTTTTTTTAGCTAAGGAGAGTTCAAAGTAAAAGCCAACTTGGTTCGTGTTTTTACAAAGATTCGTAAACGGACAGTTAAGAAAAGCCTAGTAGTAATTGGTAGTACTTGAGGTACTTAGTATGTGTGTATCAAAAAGGCACATTTAGCAGCTCTGTCATCCTGATTTCAGCCAATTCTGTCGCTTAACTCAGCTCTTCTCCTGCAGACGGTGTTACCGTGAACTACCGTATAAACGCGCACTTCAATTATAGCTGAGGCTCACTTGACCACGGCCAGACGAACGACGGCTCACTTGACCGCAGTCTTTTTTCGGCGTTTTAAGTTTAAAGACGGTGATTTAGACGCCGTTAAATAACCAAACGTGCTCCAAAGTGGGCGAATTGTGATCCCTTTGGCTTGGCTCTAGTAAGTTACTTACTAAAATAGCACAGCACACGTTTCAAGCACACCTGCTTAAAAGTTTACAAATGTTCCTTGAAAGAGAGCACTTACACCATCTTGTAGCATTCGTAAGAGACAGTCTTCAGGTACACCACGGTTCCGTAAAAATCTCAGAAGTGGGGTGTCTGTGTTTGAGGCCATGTTTCCAGGAGATGATCTGCCAACTCTGTCGTGTGTCGTTTCGTGTGAAACGATAATTATATTGTATGAACGTGATATTTATATTGTACAAACGTGATAATTATATTGTACGAATGTCAAAATTATATTGTATGAACATGATATTTATATTGTACAAACGTCAAAGTTATATTGTACAAACGTGATAATTATATTGTACAAACGTGATAATTATATTGTACAAACGTGATAATTATATTGTACGAATGTCATAATTATATTGTATGAACATGATATTTATATTGTACAGACGTCAAAGTTATATTGTACAAATGTGATATTTATATTGTACAAACGTGATAATTATATTGTACAAACGTGATAATTATATTGTACGAATGTCATAATTATATTGTATGAACATGATATTTATATTGTACAGACGTCAAAGTTATATTGTACAAATGTGATATTTATATTGTACAAACGTGATAATTATATTGTACAAACGTGAAAGTTATATTGTACAAACGTGATATTTATATTGTACAAATGTGATAATTATATTGTACAAATGTGATAATTATATTGTACAAACGTGAAAGTTATATTGTTAGAACAATAAAGTTAATATGTTAAAACGTGATATCGCTCCAATTTTATTTTGCGTAGGGTGGCAGCTCTACGCTGCCTATGTTGCCACCAACAAGTCAAAAGACTGACTACAAGTGAATAAATTGAAAAATTTAGTATAAAATAAAGTAAAAACAAAAAACAAACCAAGTAAATAAATAAATAAACAGAATTTATTCTTTTTGGTGTGTTTGTAGTTCAGTAGATTATACATTTATAGTAAAATTAAAATGCTTTAATTATTTTCCTGTTTCAAACAAAAATGACCGTTTTGAAAACATGTAATGTCTTTGTGTGTGTGTGTGTGTGTGTTGTAGTTGTAGTTAGGCATTTATTGGTCTTGGAAAAAACAAACAGTATTTTTTAGTTGTTACGTAGTTTCTATAAGCGAATACGACATTGCGTTTCCGTTATCTACAATTTATGTTGTCAGCGTTGATTTATAAACCGAAAAAAGTGTTTTATTTTGAAATTATCTACAGGAAGTTATCTTGTTTAGTTCATGTGAAAGCTGTAGCAACAGTTTATGTCCGCTAGAGAGCGGAAAAATCTGTACTCTCGAAAGTCAAGATTGAGTTCTCCTGCCTCCATCTAGTTGACATAAATACGAATCCTTATAGTGTTGCTGCCACCAAGTCAAATTAATTCAAAGTTTATTTAGACAAAAAAAAGTGACAAAGAACTACATTTCTGTTAACTAATGGTTATTTTTTTGTGCCTTTTGTTAATTTTTTCATTTAGTTTATACAGTTCAGAATGTATTAATAATTTTTGGTTTAAAACAAAATAGTGTACCTTTTAAATAATTTATATGTGTATAAATGTCTCTGTGTTTACTCCAAGCCCTACTCGCTGTGGATGGGCATTTATTAGTCTTGAAATAACCAATGGTTTTGCCTTTATCTGTTAGCTGTTTTCTGCCTGTTATATCGGCAACTGTAAGTATCTGTTTTTATTTTGGGAGGCGCTTTGATCAGCTTCTTTTTAAATGCACCATATAAATTAATTTGGTATGGCATGAAATAACTAATAGCTTTCTATCAGAAGTCACCAGGCCTGAGACTGGGTGTACCTTGAACAGGTCTCCAGTTCACCACAGGCCTACTTTAGCATTTTTGGTGTAAAATAAAATTCCATGTTTTGTACATTATGGGATGTTGTTATATGCATGATCGCCACCCCCTCTGAACCGTGGTGAAGTCTTATTGTAGCAAATTGGCCAGTGATGCAAAAAGTTTGTAAACCACTGATTTAGGTTGATATAAAATTATTCCATTTTGATGCATAAACTATAAGAACTAAGGTCAAAACAAATGTTAACACTACAGCCAGCGTCTCATTTGGGTCACCATGGTAACAGAAAACCCATCACTTTTTCTCTGACAGAAATGCATTTGGATACAAACAATTCCTGACAAAACTACATTTCACAAATGTGTGTGTGTATTTTGCTGATTATGATTCTGCTGAACTCATCTGACTTATTCAATCCCAATTTTTTTTAAATAATTTTTGCAGCTATTGCTTTGTGCCATGTTGGGGTTAAACTGCACTGCTGATTTGTAGGAGGCAGCCTTAGGCACATGCAGTCCAAGAGTGTTGTTTGCATGAGAAAATGTGCTGAATGTGTTTGAGTGAGGTGATGCCAGTGGTGACAGCAGCTTGCCTGGTGAGAAGGGAAATTTAACCTCCACTGCTGGTAAAGGAGCCGTCCAGCAGCACCTTATTAGTTTCCTACAAGTGTCTCACAGAGGGGGGGTGGGGCATTTCATTGAGATTAAATCACATCAAACGCCTCAGCAGCATGTCCTCCAGCCCCCCCCCCCCCCCATAGACAAATACATTTCAGGAAGAATTTGCGGTCTTCGTTGGTGGCGCTTGACAACCGGTCCAAATGTTCCAGCTGCGTGACAGGGATGTCGCAGCGTGTGAGAACAGGACAACGCGTAAGGAGATGCTTTCTGACATTGCCCTTTTCAAGATTCCACACCCACCTCCTCTTCACCAGCTCGCGACATGTTCCGAAGCAGTGCTGCTTTGCACCCGTCAGGGCCAAGAACAGGCGAATATGTTTGGAACGTGGAGTGGTGGGATCCGCAATGACAGCCGAGGAAGAGATGGCTAGTTGCATCTCAGTTTCAGAGCAGCAAACATGAAATCTCTTGTGATTTCTCCTCCACCGCTGTGTGAGGAGCTCAGACATGAAGACAAAGGAGTCCTGTGGAGTGCACTTTCAGAAATATTTTTTATTCACATACAATGTTTTATTCTCATTCCAAAACATTTGTTAGTGCAGAACAGAATTGATTCGATACGTTTCTGGAAACAAATGTTCACACCTGAAGCACCATGACTTTATTTTGTCTATTATATACAATTACCCATAATCCCGATGGTTTTTGTTTACAGTAATCTGTACTGTACATAAGAAAGCACACACTTCCCTTGACTCAGATTATGTTTTCATCCTCACCCATACACAGGTGTCTTAATCCTGAAGCAGAGGCACTAAATTGATCCCTTTTAAATACAAGATGATCCATCTGTTGAAGCCTCCCGCAGCAGCAGCAGAAAAATAAGACTGATGCAATTTCCCACAATAAACAAGACATTCATTAAAACATAAACCCCAGTTTATTTTAGCTCATAGCTTTCTTTTTCATGTATTATTGAATACATCGTGTTTAGAAACAACCTGCTGCAGTGCTTCTTCATTGTCAACCATCTTTTTTGTGCATTTACAGCTCCAGCTGAACCAAAACCAAACCGAAGGCAGACTTGGTGCTTCGCTGATTTAATAAACATCATTTGTTTTTTAGTTTGTTCAGTCACACCTAAAGTAAACTCTTCTCAAGAGGTCACGCACGATAAAGTCTTCTCCGACTCACAAAAATCATCTTTGGCAAATACCTTTTGTTGATAATTTAACATGCTTTACATTCTGATGTAGATGAGAAAAACAAAACCTGTGCAGCAGTTAAAAGGTGCACTGTGTAAACATTTATGTGGCTGTTTTTGCTGTTGTGTGTGTATTTTGTTACAGTATTATATATAAATACTAAACGTAGCCACGTGTGATATCGGGCCGTTCTGATATGTGTGATTCTCTGAATATAATTTAGTCTCCACACGAAACGCTTTTCGAGGAGCAGATTTTCATGTGTGTCTGTTTTTAGACAACATTTCTGATTATCAGATGCAATCATTATAGAGCGGTGCCTTTCAAACAAGAGACAAACACGAGTCAATACCTCTAACCAGAGTCTATGATCTATGATCCTTCTGGTTACGCTGATGATTACCTTTCCAATAAATGGTGATTTGTGTTCACTCAGTAAACTAATTCATCATCAGTGTTTCATGAAAAACTTTCATTTGAACATTTTTGCTGAAAATTCAACCGAACAACCAGAAACGAACCTGATGACTGATATGTAAAGACTGACGGGCTGAACCGATTCACCTTTCAGCTTTATTCACGTCTGTCCCACACACACGCACGCACGCACACACACAACTGACATCAACAAGTCAGAGCTCAGTGCAGTCAGGCAACAATTCTGCTTGTTTTCAGATACCGCAGCAAACTCCATCATGCATTTCTTCTCTTCAGCAGCAGAGACCGACAGGGATAAATGGAAAATGTTAATCAGCTCTGGTTTAATACCTACCTTTACTCCTGGAGGGCAGGATTAGGAAGTGAAACAGGAGCTAAAAATAAGCTAAAAATTCACTCCTACTTTCTTTTTTTTGCTCTCCTTGCATTAAACACATGTTAATACATGTAAGTCATGTGGGTGAGGTATTTCCTTTTCTAGTCTCCAGAAGACAGTGAGCACAGCTGTTGGGGCTTTTTAGAAACAAGAACATGTATGAAAGGAAAATACTTTCACTCATTTTATTACGGCATTTCCTCGTAGAACAGCAGGTATGCCTGAGAGTTGAGCACCCTGGACTCTGGCACCGTCTGAACAGTGGTATCACTAACGTACACCCACTGGCCCTGGGAGCTGTTGCCAACTTCTCTTGCACCTAAAAAACACACAAAGTGTCAGTATCAAGAAGCACATGGATAAAGAGTGTAGAGATGACACAGCGATACGCCCGATGTCTCAAGCAAGTTAGAGTGGCTGCAAAGGTGATCACAGAGGGTGTGGAGGTGAGACACGAGGCCGATGGCTTCTCATCATTTCACAAAAACACAATCAAAGGTGAACAAAGTACAATTTAATGCAAATACAAACTAACATAGAGCCAAAAATCACATTAAAGACTTTATAAAGCTTGTTTTGTTAAGTTACTAAGGATAAAACCTGTATTATTATGTGATAAAGTCAATGCAAACCTAATCCATTAGAAATCACAAACCACAGCCTCTAAGAAACGGGCCAACGGCTGAAGGAAGCTAAACACGGACCCCTGACCTGACAGGTTCTTGTGACGTGGTTCTGTCTTCCTCTGAGGTGCTCGCACTTTAACGTAAGCCGTGTAGTGGCCTCCGCGCATCGAGCCGCTGTGCTCAACGATCCCATAAAGGCTGTACAGGACTCGCTCGCCGGCTGCTAGGTTCTACACATCAGGAAGAAGGGACAGAAGAAAGGATGACAAAGAGAAGGTCTCCAGGACCGGGATCTCAAAACAATACCTGACTAAAAGTCATGTTGGTAAGATTACAGAAATTAGAATCTTTTTGAGTGTTATACAGAAGAAAAAAATCATTAACATTATAATTTAAGTATTTTTTCAGTTGAGGGCAGCAAATCCTGGTTGTTTTGTGTTTGCAGCAGTGAAAGTATTATTGTTCTACCTTACAGGATGCAGAGCAGAACGGAGCCAGATCCAGGATCAGAGGAAAATCAACATGGCGGTTCACCTTCCGAAGGTTCATTCCTGCCTAAATGTGTGCACACACACACACGCACGCACACACACACACACACACACAAGACGAAGCATTTATCCATCCATCCTAAACAGCAGCATCGACTGGGAAATGTATTAACATAACTTCATTTTAGAGTATCTGATAAGTTATAGCCATACACAGAGGCACGTGTGTGTGTGTGTTTACCTGGTGGAAGCGTTTCAGATGCAATGTGATGACAGGAGGAAGCAAGGAAATTAGCATCTGCTTTCTAGCACTGGTGTAGATCTTTTCCACCTTTTTGTCTAGGCAAAAAGAAATAAGTGGTGAGACACTAAACTTGCATCACTAATTTCCCCTAAAGCACCCAGACGCTGGTATGACTGTGTGTGTGTTACCATGAGCTACGGGTGAGGAGTCAAACTCCTGCAGGGATAAGGTAGATGTGTATGCAGCTCTCAGCCAAATGGGATGCATTTATTATGTAATACCAATTGTTTGTGAATAAAGACAACACTGCGGAGGTTCTCATCCACTAAAACCCATCTCAGAGAGGGTTTCAGATGTTTAATCTCACCTGCTGAGTTGCTTTTGCGCAGCTGCTTCTGCCTGCGGTCGGTGCAGCTCTCACACAGCAGCTTGTTGTTTCCCATCAGCAGCTCCACGGAGGTGAACTGGTGAAGGCAGGACTGGATGGAGCACTCTTTGGAGCCGGGGGTGTAACTGTGGGACAGAGCCTGGAAGGCTCCTAGGTGGTGCAGATTATCCCGGGTTTGAGTCTCTCCCTGCTCCTCAAAAGAACAGTGGGTGGAAGTGGAGACATCTCCCAGACTGGCTTTAGAAACAGCAGTAGCTAGCTGCTCTACAGCACCACCCTGCTTGGAGGAGGAGGAGGGGGATGAGGAGGAGATTGAGGAAGGGGATGGAATGAGGGTGGATGCGGAAGATAGAGTGGACATGTGTCCGTGGCTGGAGGCGCGAGGGGCCCACTCGCTCTCGGAGGCCTCACTATCAGCATCATTACTGCTGTCGTGAGCACCAGAATCTCTTTCGCTGCCGTCCGACAGGCTGCCAGCAGCCGCCATCTTACTAACCAAGATGCCACGAGCTGACCCGCCAGCTACCCCGTCTTCTTCTGGTCGCTCAGCGCTGCAGGCTGCTCCCTTCTCCTCCACGGAGCCGGAGGACTTCCTGTTCAGCTGCTTCTGTAGAAGAAAAAAGGCCCGTGTCTTTACAGAGACTCAGATTCGGACACGCCCACATGCGTGACCTTCCTTTTCTGAGACGTTATTTTAAGCTAAGCGCCGACATTACTGTAACCTTTAAACCCCGATGTGTTTAAACTACAGATGATCTCTGCTGCATTAATGTTCCTAAAGGTCTCTCCCGTTCAGCCCGCCTAACAAACGTCAGGAATCGCTGTTGATCATTAAAAACAGACTAAAATGCTGTGAGCAGGTTAGAGCAGACACCTCTCATTAAATCTGTTGCAAAAATCACTTTTCTATAAAGTGAATTCATTAGTAATTATAAAAAAATGTTCATTTTTATGATATATTGTTTGGAATATGCCTCACTTTTCAGAATAAATTGAAACAAACTGATGTGTTCAGGGAGAATAAGGCCTTTCTGATGCAGGTTGAGTTTGCAGTCTCACCGGTCCGCTCAGCTTCCGGGCGTTCCTGTTCACCGAGCTTGCTGCCGACAGAACCTGCTCGTTGTGAGCCGCAAGGCTGTCCTGCTCCCGGATGACCTTTCCCAGGCGACCGGGATAGGATGGTTTTGATATCTGAGCAGGACGAGGAAGAAGAAACATTCATTTTTGAAAACAGTTCAAACGAGAACAAATGAGTTGACTCATAATGATTATTCGATTAAGGACCTCACCCTCTCCTCTATGATGGGTAAAGACATGTCTATGAAGGCTTCCTTTACTGTGGAGATCTGAAAGAGAATGACACCTGTTAACTAACCACACCCCTCCCTTCACAGCCTAAACTATGACCCGTTCTGCCACAGATCTGAAGGCACCAGGAGGGGTTAGCTGCTGCTTTCTCCCTCAACACCTGGCACTCTCTCGCCTCCTGCAGGCACGCTCTTCAGTTGGCATTTCTGAACCACCCAGAGCTCTCAGAGCGAGTGTCTGCTGTAAACAGTTGGTGTTTGAGCTGGTCCTTGAGGCGCTTTTTGTTTGCTTCACTAATGACATCTCTTGTACTTCCTCTCATTATGTGATCTTTTTATTGTAGGTGGAAAAGTCAGAAATGCTTCCCAGGTGCCACAGCTGGTAAACAAATTGCTGACTTACTTTTTAGTTGTCTTAATTTTTGGTCAATGAAAAGTATCTGACGGTTTATGAGGGTAATGAGAAATACCTGCGCTGGTGAAATTGCACAGCAGTCTAACAAGAGCCATTCAGAAATCATTTGAAGCAATGAAACGAAACAAAACGGGTGTGAAGGATATCACAGAGAATGCTGGTAGGGTCACGCTGATTAAATAGCTGCTTCAGACTCAGCCATCAGCCAAAGGAAACGCTATGTTGTTAATGGGGGTGTGCTTTATTTACCGTAGGAGGGAGGACACAAATACTCACATGCTCACATTCTTCACACATAATGGTGTTGGTGAGCTCGCCTACAAAGATACGGTCGACAAAGTTCATCTTCACACCTTCTTTTCCGTACGCTGAAACGAAAAACAAGGAAAAAAAGAGACAGTTTTAAATAACCCAGAAACGTCTCAAACCAAACCGCTTCAACAAAAATCTAAAGAGTGTTTCTCTTTTATTAGAGTCTTCTGCTTATGTGTCAAAGGAGAATGTCCAGGGATGTTAAAAAAATTACACAAATGATAAACAAGTAAATAAGCGAGTTCTCAAATAAATAATAAAATGAATCTACACAGCAGATGGATCCATGAACGTTTCCCATCTGTAACCTGTCCTCTGCCTGCAGTACCGTTCACCACCACACGGTGGGACTATTGATCTTGGATTTGTGATTGAAGCAACCTTTGACTTGGCGTTTAGTCTCCTCGTCAGCCGTCTTCTCTGTGGGATTGTTGAACGCTTTTAAAATGGCTGCTTTCACCCTCTGCAGACAAAAGCAGAAACAAACCACAACAGATCAGATCCGAACAAATATTCTTAAATTACAGAAACCGTAAAACACGGAGAGGTTTGGCATGGGAGAGATTCTTCAAGACTTTTTAAAACACCCATTACTGGCATATCACAATCTAGCCTGCAGCGGAGTTTGACAGGTATACCCATTATAAGCATCATTAGTGTAAAATAATTATTGTGCTTGTCTACAAATGTTAACATGTAAATCTCCTAATTAACTGTGTGTGTGTGTGTGGGTGTATGTGTGTGCCCTTTGATTAAAGGTGACATGGTCAGTGAGTGTGTTGGTGAGAAAGCTGTGAAGAGGCACAGCCACTGTAAAGCACCAATCAATAGATAATTGGCTGTAGTCTATAAGTCAAGAGCCCCCCCCCCCCCCCCCCCCCCACACACACACACACACACACACACAGAGTGCCGGGACAGGACCCACGCTCTGAACTGGCTATTTAGGTCAAAAAGCCCAGTTAATCCCACCCAGCCAAGTCAAACCAGGCTGTGGCTCGACCACTAATTAATTACCAGTAAACCCCCACGATCCCATTCTTTCCCTAAAATAAAAAGGATGAACTGTCCCAGGGAGAATGGGCAAGAGGGAGGGGTTGCTGGAGGGCAGGGGGATGGGGGGGCATGAAGAGAGCGGCTGGTGCAAGGATTCAGGCGTAGATAGTAGAACGAAGACGAGGCAAAGGAGGCCTGGCAATGCCTTGGGAGAGAAATACCCAGCATCTCGGCTAATTGGTGATAATTGAGTGGGCTAGCATTTGCATGTTCAGATCTCTGATACTAATGGCCAATCAACAAAAACACTTAGGGGCACTTAAAGGTTAGTGATGTACAATAATAACACACTAGCCCTCTCTCACCAACACAGGGACATCAACACCTATTCCAGGTATAGGTCAATCACTGAAGCTTTAGAAAGAGATGCTTGTTATAAAAAGTTACATTCATTACTCTACACTGTATGCTTGGTGATTAAATTTGTTCATTAGAAAAGTAACGGACACTACAAAAGCATCCCTACGGAAGTTGAAATGCTCCTGTACCTTTGCAGCTTAAATGAGGCTCTGAGTGAATGAATAGAGGAGCCCAGACACCCTCCCTTCTTTATTCCTTTGATTGGATTGGGAGCCAGGGTGGTGTGTGTGTGTGTCTCTGTGTGTGTGTGTGTGTGTGTGTGTGTGTGTGTGTGTGCGTAGGAGGGGGCTGTGGACAACCCTGGAGCACAATGGAACGGCCCTGGAGCCCATTCAACAGCTGTGGGTTTCCCAAGATCACACAATGATGCCGGTGGTGCCACTTGCAAGTCCCCCAAGTGGCACAACTGTTAGTGTTCACAAGTTTGAATAGAAGCAGGGGAGCCCAGCCTGCAACAGCCCAAGCCCCCCCACCCAGGCCTCAGGCTGACCACTAAACACACCCGCTAACTTCTCCTTGGTTCGTGCGGTCACTGGTGGGCTCTCCAAAGAGCTGCAGTGAGCTCTCCTAATTGCCCCATGAGAAGCGGGAGGGGGCATGGAGGGAGGATGTTTGCCAAATCTATGGCAGTAAAGGGTGTGAATGTTAAAATGGAGAATCCAGTCTGAAAATACTTTAAATGAATTGGTCAGAGAGGTAAAAACAGCCAACCGCATAAAAGATTTCTGAAAAGAAATAATATTTACAAAATGGTAGTTATTCGAGGCTTGTTTTGGAAACTCCTACATGAACACGCAGACACACACATGCAGGCTGACAATAAACTGTTAGTAAAATGCTGTAATGAGATAAGAGGCTTTCAAAGAGGTGTGTGTGTGTGTGTGTGTGTGTGTGTGTGTGTGTGTGTGTATACAGCGACTGATACTCCTTTTGCTAGTATAATCAGCTACCATGGGGAGGACATTATAGCATCAGAATTATGACTTGGTATCTATTTTAAATGCTACTTGTGATTAAAGTATTTATTAGAATAAGAATTCATTCTGTCTTAAAGCGGCTGACCTCTGTCTACACTACTACACCTCACAGAGACAAGTTAAATACAAGCATTAAAGTCACGTAGGTGGTGTTTTTCTAGAAACACTTCAGTAAAACAGACAATCTGAAACAATGCCACATTGAGTTTATTTTTCTGGAAACAATTGCAAATCTTGGTCCTGAAACATCCGCTGAATCAGTGCATGCACCAGCAGATATGCAGAGATGTAGCCTAGATGTTGAACAAACTGATTTGTACTTGATGGCTGCTGCATGTGTCCTTGTTCAATTCTTCAAGGCCACAAAAAAGGTTTTTTCTTGTCCGTCCGTCCGTCTATCTATCCATCTATCCATCCATCCATCCAAATTTTAATGAAATGATTGTGGTTTTATAGATAAATCTTTGGAAACTATTAAAAAGGTCTCATAAGTGTTTCCTAATTCCCTGGTTTTATTTTCTTGTTGTTGACGACAACATCTTGGTCTATCTTCAGCTGCAAAAGTAATATAAGGACGGTTTCGTGAAACCGCACAACCCTACTGTGATATATTTGAAAATTGACCAGAAATAAAAACCATTTGTAATTCAGCTGTAAGTAACGGCCATTTTACTGAATTAAAAAATAAAACAATAATATTCTTTCATCTTCAGTTTGAAGGAGCTTTCTAGTTAAATAAAAATCAGCAAAGCTTAATAAAAATATTCTCAAGCAAATCTGTGATGGTTTCAGTAAAAACAGCTAAATACAGAAGCAGATGTGTGTAAACTCACTTTAGTTTCTTCTACCCGTATGGAGTCCAGTAAGTAGTGCAGAAGCTCCTGACTGTCCTGTTGCTGGTAGCCCTTAAAGCGTGGAGCTCTGCAACAAAAACAAGATCAGGATAAACATATAAATCTACAATCACAGTGAAGGAAGACACACCACAGGCCCAACAACATCCAATCATTGTGTTCAGAATGGCTTCAAGCTGTTCCACAGGTGGCAATCGGACAAACAATAGTGCCATTATTATATGAAGGCGATAAAATCACCACTTTTTCCGGTAAAAGCCCAGATGTTTCTCATCTGGTGCAGACAAACGTGTAAGCACACCAAACTGGTTCTGAGTGAAATAAAATAATTATAAATGCGTATAATTCAGTAACCTTTTTGGATTCTACAGGTTTGCAATAATAAATCTTTAGTGAGTCTCTTCATGTTGTTTTGTAAACTTTAGTTGATATAAGTGACTATCTGCCGAACCTCCACTAAGACCATCAATCCAAGAGCAGTTAGAGGGGAGGCTCTCCTTGGGTTGATCCCATCCATGCTGAAGCAGATGTGTGGACAGATGCCCGAGGCAGATGGGCAGCTGGGGCTGGAGTCATGGAAACCTGTTGGGCCAAGCCAGCCACATAACCAAAGGACAGGTTGGTTAGACAGGCAGGGTGCTTACAGGCCACATTCCTGGTTAGATGCTGAGGATATAGGAGGGTGGAGAATGTGGTGGTGGGCTAACGCCTCCAGTAGAGGACCTCTGTTGGCATTCAGAGATCCTATAAATACAATCAAGATGCAAACATTGCATCCTATGAGACTGATTTTCTGATAAACAATTGACCTTTTGTCACTGAACTGGTACATCTGTGTAAAACTTGAAGCCGATAAGAAATTGTGATATTTGTATAAAACATGCTCAAAGTTTCTAAACATGTTTGCAATGTATCCTTAAATCATTTGCAATTCTGTTCCATTCAGATGATCAGATTCTCTCTTATCTCCATTCAGTCACAACTTAGTTTCATAGGCTGCCAGGCAACTCTAGAGGTGCCTCACAATTTTAACACTTAAAACAAAAAGAGAAAAGCCCCATATTTCTTTGATGCCTCTGCAATGATGTTTAAAATTTGTTCAGAATTCCAGAAACACAAGAGAAAAGCTGCGAGGCTTTTGAGAGGAAACAAGAGAACCTTTCGAAATGTTTAGAGACATTTTGGAAACTTTTTTCATTCACTAAGTCCACTTATCCGATGTCAGTGCAGGATCGGCTCGGGGTCCTTCGACTGCCGATGACGTCAAAGTAGTTGATTGGCTGAACATGAAGCTTACGGAAGTGACGTTATCACGTTATGATTTTGATTGGTCAGAACAAATTTGCGGTCGTAGTCTTAGCGGTTGTAGTCCTGTAGTCCAAAAATCAACACTTTTTGGAGAAAATATGTTTGAATTTCTAAAGGAAATGTAAAATATAAGCAAATGATAAACAGTGACCCTCAAAAGCTCTTGATGTTGATGAAATGGGGCAAAATAAAACATAAGAACTGTATTGAAAGACACCAAGCAATATTGTGAATCAAAGAATGTATTTAGATAACAACTAAGGAAATATACAGACGAACTCCACATACAATACAAACAGATATGGCTTCACATATAAGAACTGTTCTACTGTTTGTCAGTCCGATGTTGGTTTTATGCAGTTTCACATTCTTTACAAAACAAAGATAATATGGTGTTTTATTAACAAATTACAATTATAAAGAAAACATTTTTGTTAACAAACAAGAATTTATTAACAAAACTGCTGATGTCTTTCCTAAATGTATGTGTGAAAGCCGAGTAGATTTGCAGTAATGTGACGTCATCGGCAGTCGAAGGACCCCGAGCAGATCCTGCACCGACACCGGGTCCTGGTCACACACACCCAAACCATCCTCTGCGAGGAACCTTCACAAAGCGTTCCCTGGCCAGTATGGAGATATATCTCCAGCCTGTCCTGGGTCAACCCAGGGGCCTCCTGCCAGCAGGTCATGCCTGAAACACATCCCATGGAAGGCGTCCAGGAGCCAACCTGACCAAACACCTGAAACACCTCAGCTGGCTCCTCAGTGTGGAGGAGCAGCGGCTCTACTCGGAGCCTTTCTCTAGATAAGCTAAAGGGGACATTTATACTAATAACTCCTAGTTCTGACACTCCAAGGTTCAGAACCGCTATTTGCCCGTTCATGAGGAAAAAACAGATAACTGGTCGAATATTTAGCCTATAAAAATAATAAACATGAACAAGAAGATAGAAACACAAGGCCCATTAGAAAAGGAAGGATGATTAAGCCAAAAGAAGAAAACGGAGTGAGATGTAGAGACAATCTCAGTAGGGATCAGTGGGACTGAGGAGATCTGGAAGCTCATCCCAGTGGAGAGAAGCAGAAGGGCCCTGTAGCGCTGCTCTCAATCTGGCCAACGCAAACAGCTGCGGTGCTAACACAATTAATAGCCGGATGAGTTAGTACCAGACACAAGGCCACACAAGCTCCCCCCTCCAACACACACATGTATGAGCAACACAATGCACACACTAATCCTCTATTTGCAGAAAAATATACACAGATGATCAGAAATTGTTCAAACAACAAAGTAAAAAGTGTCAAAAGGGCAGATTTTCTAGACCAAGCAAAAGCAGGTTTTGGTTTAATTTACTACAATTAAAAGTGTAATTGAACCATAATTTAGTTCCAACAAAATAACAGTCTAATTATTTTGAGGTAATCTGGGATCTACTGATCACTCTAGAAGGTTATTTTAAATATTGTTACACAAGATTAAAGCAACACTATCTAAATAATCAATGCAACCATCTAATCAACTCAAAAAACCTTTGACTTATTTTTTGATCCCAACAAACTTTATTTCTAATCTACACCAGCTCTGCCACAGCAGTCAACGTTTTGGACAGTGATTCAAATGCCTAGCGTGGTTTGAAATAATTACAACAAACGCTGCTTATTAATCTGATTTAATTTTTTATATCTGAACACAACAAAGCAGCTCCTATTTTGGGATTTTCTGCACCCACTTCCATCCACATAAATGCATGTAAACACACAAACCAGTTTTAAATTATTTGTTACCACTTCTAAATATCTTTCGTAAAAGTATGTATGTGTGTGTGTGTGTGATTCAGATGCCAATGCTAGATGGAATTCATTGTTGTCCTTAGCTATTTCCACCAAGGATGAAAGGCTTCTCACAAAGCTTGTTTCTCAACTTTATTTGAAAGAGGTGAGTGTGTGGACATTTATCCTCAGTAGATAAAATAGAGATGAGGGCAGAATGCTTTTCATGCTTGACACACACACACACACACACACACACACACACACACACACACACACACACACACACACACACACACACACACACACACACACACACACACACACACACACACACACACACACACACACACACACACACACACACACACACACACACACACACACACACACACACACACACACACACACACACACACACACACACACACACACACACACAATCTAGTGGTTCTCCAAAAAACTGAATCAGACCTTGAAAGAAGCCAGGTGTGTCAAAAACCGACGTAGCTTTTATGTAAATACAGACTCCGTCCAGATAAACAGAATTAATAGGAATGATAATAAAAATGTGTCCCTGGACCCTCAGAATGTCAGTACCCGTATGGACAGATGTCTGAAACTAGAACTACGTGTTCTTTTCCTTTAGTATTGTCACTCGTTCCTAGCTAGCTGTTGACTAGCTTTGGGTACGCTGGATACAAGCTGGGACCCTTGCTGGCACCAGGTACAAAGTGTGGTGCTGACCATCCAATACACATACTTTGGCTTTGGTCCAAAACTATTCCTCTGACAGGAGGATGAAGAGGAAGGCTGTAGGGAACTCAGCTGGTTGAGGTCAAATCCAAATGAACCCAAGTGCAAAAACACACAGACACTCACGCACAGCTAAGCAGGGCTCCAGTAGCGCACAAAGACCCTGATGTTCCTTGATCAGAGCCAGAAAGCCTTATTAACCTGCCCATCGACACAAACATACTGGGAAATATGGTGAAAGAGAAACAGAAAAGAGATGTCAGCTCCAAAAGGTCAAGGGCAAACCAAACCCTCTTTGAGAGGCAAGAGCCTGTAGCAGCAAGTGAAAACAGTAGCATTCACAGAGCGCCGTGGTCATAAAGGTCGTCACGATGAAAAACACGTCCCAGGTGAGCTGGAGCAGTTCTTGACCTTGCTCCTTTATCTCAAAGATTTGAACTTGACCGAATGTAGACTAATTGTTCGGAAGAGAGGAGTCTGAAAATAAAAACATAAGAGTGAAGACACTTTAGAGCAATACAAGAACCGTTTGCAGTTTGTGGATGTTGGGAGATCGCAAACACGCATGCATATAATCTTCAAGAATGACAGAATCATTATGAAAACAACAATAACATCCTCTGAGTAGGGCTGCTCAAGATGAAATTAGTCAAAACAATTTTCACCATTAATTGCATTAAATCATGGAGTATAAAACTCCAGGTGTCATGCAGGTTTTCTGCAAACAAATGAATTACTGGACCACTGAAATTAACCCTCTTGATGCTTACGCCACACTTGGATGACAGCAGCCTTGATGCAATGTGACAACAGAACAGGACAGGGCTTGTTTTACAAATGTTAGCATCATCACAAAATTAACATGTTTTTTTTCTAATTTAGTGCAGACAAACCCTTGAATAAAAGTTTATAAAATGTAAATTAGAAATGGAGTGCAATGAATCAATTAAAAGTATGTTTTAAGACCAAGTTCACTTGTTTTTAAATACATTTGCAGTGGTCTCTAGCTCTGGCGCTCCTGTTTCTCCCCTGCAGGACATAGAGGTAGAAGACTATTCACGTTAAACCTGCATGTTAAAGTCAGAGTGACCCATCATATTTAAAAAATAACAAGAAAAAAAAATTGTTTCTCACTCGACTTGGACTTTAAAGGTGCTATAGCAGGGGTGTCAAACTCATTTTAGCTCAGGGGCCACATTGAGGGAAATCTAGTCCCAAGTGGGCCGGATCAGTAAATAAAAAAAACAAAAAACAGATTGTTTATTTTGTTTTAATACAATCAATATGAAACAAGGCTGGAGCCTGAGGACAGTGTAGTACAAGTACAACACCTGAAGTGTACTTGAACATTTGAAAACAATAAAAAATCAATAAATAAAAAACATTCCTTAGTGATTCAAAGAGCTTACAGGTCACAAGGCTAGATCAGTTTCATGCAGCACTTAAAGTATATTTGAGTCATTTTACTTTACATCTTTTAGCTTTCACCAGCACATCAACATTAGAAGTCACATCCTGAGTGGCGGCCAACTTCAGGATGTGACTCAAGTTCTTGTGTGAGCCTTGAGCGCAGCTTTGTTTTATTTATACTCATTACAGAGAAAACTTGCTCACAATGATAAGTTTATTTTCACTACATTGTAAAGTATGAAAATAAAGTTTTCACAACCATCTCGCGGGCCGGAGTTAACCCTCTTGCGGGCCGCGGCCGCATGTTTGACACCCCTGTGCTATAGCGAATTTACAGAACAAGCTAGGTTTTGAATGCAAACACGGTCACAGAACACTCACCCCTCGGGTATCTTCCCTGGATCTGCATCCAGAACCGGTGACCCATGATGCCGCAAGAAACAAAATATGGCTTAACACCAGTCGCTGTTTTCAACCCCTTTTTTTTGTCCGTGACTTTAAACGGTGTTTTTCTTTTTGGGACTCAGGTAGTTTTTCCAAAAGTTGAAGTGGTAGCAGCCGGCTGAACCTCACACCATCGGTGTTCTGTTGCTAAATACATGAGTGTGTAATGAGTGGAGGACCCAGGGAAGTGCGGGAGTATGAGACCAACAACTGGATGGTCCGATAGTTGCTTTTAGTCTGAAACGTGTTACTGGTGGAGATTTTTAGAAACGTGAGAGAACCACCCACTTATTGTTTTCTCTTTTTAAATCTCCACATTATATTTATAGCTACAGAAAGTTGTTAAGAGGCATGAACAGTAACATTTTACAAACTCCTTCATTCTCTGGGCTTCTGTTTCTAAAATGACAACCCTTACAAAAATAGGAAACCTGCCACCTGGTAATACCTGATAAATCAAGTTTCCTTTATTGAAATCCTAAATGTACAAACGCAGACAGAAAGGGCTTCTGTTTTATTTACAGAGCACAAGGAAGGGTTTGATCCAAAACTAAAGGAAATGTTAGAATTTCACCACACAGACAACTTTTGGTACAAAACACATCTGGCAATTGCTACTAGTTCCATGCTATTATTGACGCTCAGCAGTTTCCACTACTTGTAAAAGGGAACGTTTAAAAAAATAAAATACCAAGGTCACATAGAAAGAATTCAGCACTCTTGAATTCCTGGCAAAAATGCCAAGACCTGCATTACCGAGTACAAATGACAAACACTTTGCAGGTTTTCTGGTTTTTCATGGTGCTTTGTCTGAAAACTTATTCAACTAAATAATAATCAGAACTGTTGCTGAGTGATTTCAGAGCTAGCTACTAGTAAAATCGGCTCCAAAGCAGACAGCTGTGACTGTGTTTTCTTTCATTTCTCCCATTTTAAAATGACAATAAAACAGTTTTAATATTTTTAAATAAATACAAACTACAGAAAATCTTACACAGGGTAAACATGTGATACATACATTTTACAAATATGCCTGTATCAAATCTCTACTCAAATGCATGTTAGCATTCATCTGTTTGAAATTAGACACGAGTGCATTAAGGCATAGAAAGTGCTAGATGTTTGAATGCATAATTGTCTGCATGTGTGTTGCAGACTGAGATGGTGCCAGGTGAGGTGGCAGTCCACAAACACACACTCAACACAAAAGTGCACACAGTGGGCGGAGTGTCTGATGTTAGTGAGGTACCAGAATAACCGTCAAAGCTGCACCAGAGAAATACCCAGTCATCCAACATTAAACGCCCTGCTTACCCACCTGCACTACTAAACAGTGCAGGACCCCCCCACCCATCTCATACACATAAACAGGGAGGACCCAACCAGCAGTGTACCATGCTCCAACAGAAAGTCATCCAACCACAAATTCACACAGATCAGCTCTAAAAAAGTCAGGCTTTGTGTGTGTGTGTGTGTGTGTGTGTGTGTGTGTGTGTGTGTGTGTGTGTGTGTGTGTGTGTGTGTGTGTGTGTGTGTGTGTGTGTGTGTCAGCGCCACACTCTGCTAGACCTTGATCTGGATCAAATATGACACAGGTGGCACAGCCATGTAGCAAGTAGCAGAAGCTCAACAAATAGCTGCTACTGGACATGTGGTAAGGTAAAGCGCGTTTTGTGAACTCTGATGTTGGAGTGTGTGAACGGGGCTCTGTTGGGATCAGGTGTTAGTGACTGTTAAATGTGTCAAGTAGTGAGTGTGTTGAGCTTGTACCAACAACAGCAGGAAAGCCGACAAAAGAAACATTTTTCAAGTTAGCATCTTTTTCCCCCACAACTGTCAGTCACATTATCCCAAATAGAACAGCAGCTATGGCTGCACTTCTCATTCAGGGTTTCTTGAGCTTCTGTGACTGAACCAGTAAATATATTCAACTTTCATGAATTCTGTACTGAAAAAGACGTTAGTCAAGTGGGATGAAACTGCTGCCAATCCAGAGTGAGACCTTACTTCTGACAGAGCTGGTTGAAGAGGATTTTTGGACTGATGGGGCCTTTCCCCGGCTCCTTCATGCTCTGCAGGAAGAGAATCATCGCTGCAGTCAGGGGCTCAGGACCGGGGAGCGTAGCGATCAGTGGACTCTGCAATATGAAAGAACCCATTCATAACAAATTTAGTTATAAAAATATTTCTGATGTCAAAAAATACAAAAGCAAACAAGGAGATCTGGTGAAAAGGCTCCCCTTTGCCCATTATAGTCGTGAATTATTCTTCTAACACAGGGGTACCAACTATTGAAATATGGAGTTTTGCTTGAAACAAACAAAAGTCACATGCTGTTTGAAATCTTTATATCTATCAATCAGTTGTTTTTGACCTTATAGTGTGGAAGCACATTGTAACTCAGCTTTTGTTTTATATTTTAGATTACGCTGATATACTTTACTAAAACTCCACAACTGCGAGTCTTCAGTCAGCGAATGTTGTTTATAATAGTTTATGTCGCTTTGTTTTGCGTTGTCCCTTCAAAACGCACCATTGTTGTATGTGTGAATGTCTTTCTTGGCTCTCCTTAGAAGCTAGACATCACTGTCATTGGTTGATATTTATTTTCAAATGTATTTATTTTAATATTCCATCTTATTTGAAAACACTGTTAGTACCCTTCAACTCTTCATATTCCACTCGACTCACTGGTCGGCTTTCTTTTGTTATTCCACAGTTCAGAAAAGAAGCAGTGAGATGTGCCTTCTGTGTTAAAGCTCCATGGGACTGGAATTACCTGCAGTTTTAACGTCAGTTTCATCATTTTGTTTATTTAGTAATTCAGCTTTAGAACATGTGATGCAGACTTGTAAATGTTTAGCTTCCTTTGCTTAATAACCTAAAAAGTCACCAAGTATAAGTATTAGTATTTTTACCTTCTTTTGCATAAACTAAATATGTATTTGAGAATTTTATGTGAGAATATGTATATGTAAACCTGGCTTACATCATGCAGGCTTTTTAAAATGTATTTATTCATTTTATTATTTATTTCTAACTAAAAATACCATTATTATTATCTATGTATTTATTTTTATTTAAAATTTTTCTCTTTTTATATAACTTTTGTGTCTTGTTTGTTTTTAACATTCTAGATTTGATGTTTGTACATTGACTCTGTTATCTTTCTTTTTATTGCTTGTAAAGTATCAAAATGGAGATGGCTCATCTCAAGCGGTTTTATCCTCATAAAACATAAGTCAATAAATAAATAAAATTAAATGTATATCGATATCGGCAAATATCGGTTATCGGCCATAACAGCGATATTAATCGCGGATGTCGGTATCTGCCCAACATTTCATATCGGTGCATCCCTAATCACTACAATATTTTAAGTTTTGTAGACATGTGCGTGAGAGCATATCTCAGAATGAACGATCTCACGTGTCACCCCCTCTAACTACGTAAATCTAAGAGAAACACTGACTTTATACATCTATGAGTGAAAAAAGAAATACTGCAGTGTACTGTACCAAATTGGTCTCGACAGGTGGACAGATCTTCTGTTTGTGGCCCTTCTCCTTCACTTCCTGGATGAGGTCAATGAGCATGTGAGTCTGGGACAGGTTCTGTAAAACAAAAACAATATTTTAAGGGTTATTATTTATTTATTTACAGTTAATGTATTTGAACAACACCACTACTGATCAGGTACAGTAAGAAGTTAAATCAATATGGCCACCGATTTTCAGATTCATAAAAGCCCATTAACATTTAAGCGGGCACTAAAAATTTAAGTAAAACTGACATTTTTTTAACAATGGAAATTGTTGTAGACGTTGCTTTTGACAGGATTTATGAACTTTTGGTTAACTAAACATGCAGACAGATACTTTAAAGAATCTTTTGAGTATTGAGACGAATCCTTGGCAGGAGAATGGTCTGAAATGTTGTACCTTAATGTTACAGGAGCACCTTTTCCTTTCCTTTCAAAAGGTATTTGTTTTGTCACATTCTGCCAATAAAGACTGTTGCTATGGAAAACACACAATAAAGCTGGCATTGTGAATGCAAACACAGCTCAACCTCTAACAATTATGTGTTTTCACCGAAAAGATTGCAATTTTCAAGGAGACAATTCAAACAGACAGGGAGAGGGAGGGAGAAGCATGCAAAGGGCGCTCACTCGAATTTCTATCAACGAGGAAGACCCTGAGGGTGATTAAAATGGCAAAAAAAAAAAAAAAAAAAAACAGCTTCATTGTTGGAGAGGCATGTCAGTTTGCAGTCACCATGACATGACCAGAGAAAGACAGAGGAGGCTCGATGGCTCTGTGTTGTCAGCAGGCTCCGCACCAACTGACAGCCACTCGTGTTGATGCAGGTGAGCGTGTCCACACTGGCTCTGCATTTATCGCTGCTCTGAATATACAACATGACCTGTTTACACTGTGAAAACTGTCTCATAAAAGGAGGCACTTGATGAGTGTTTACTCATCCTAGGGACATACATATTTGTGGGTTTTTTTTTTTTTTCAGAATGGGAATCGTCCTGATTCACCAGTGAACACAGGGTCTCTGGAGATAAAGCAGTAACCTGGAAGCAGGTTGTTTGCATTGAGAACTCCACTTGAAACATGTGAATCGGCTTCAGAATTATGTTAACAGAATTATACCTGCAATCTCAGACAGCCTTCTTTATAGCACAAAGCAGCAAAATATTACAAAAATTACAATTTATTAAAAGTCTTTTATATCAAACTTTCTGATGATCTAATTTTAAATGAGACAAAGCCGTTTTAGCCAGAAATGTGACTTTGACACCAACCTGCATCACAGCATTAAAGAAGCATGTGTTTCCCAGGTTAGTTATTCCTTTCACAGGGACCAAAGTGCTGTTAATGACTGGACTCTTTCCTCTGGATGGGTCAGGGTAATCTGAAGCTTCTTCTCGCAGCTTGATGATCTTGGGTGATATTGCTGGAAAACACACAGATAAAAACATACGAGTATGAGTTAGGGTTGTCACAATACTAAAATTTCAAACTGAATTCGATACTGGTGGGGGGGGGGGGGGGGGGGGGGGGGGGGGTTGGGGGGGGGAACTCGATACTCGATTTCGATACTATTTAAAAACACCAATTTATTGAACAAGGTTATTCAAAAAATAACATTCCTCAATTTATATTGCAAAAATTAAATGTTAAGAATTAAGTGTGTAAAGTGCTTAAACCTTTCAAGTATCAGCATTTTTTTAAAACGTGCATACAAAAACTGGTGAAAGTTAACACTTTAATCATGAATTGTCTCACTATACAGGGCCAGATTAACACTTCGTTGTACCCTGGGCAACAATATTCAAGGGCCCCATCATCACGACCCAAGGATCACCATAATATGGTCACATACAGAATATTTTACTGTAATATGTAGTAAATATACTCAATACTTGAATGCCTGACAACACGTAACCCGCTCAGGATAACCTTTGACCCACCTTGTGTGGACTGACCAATGAAGAGAGGGTCTCAGCTTGAGGTCCTCTCTTCATTGGTCAGTCTGCATGAGACTGACTCTCAACTGACGTTTAGAGTCATAGACAGCGAAGCGTCTCTGTGCAGCGCAAAAGCCCGGGTGGACAGTTTGTTTAATACAGGGTGATCATATTTCCATTTCCAAACAAGAGGACAGGGGATCTGTGCCTATGACGTCACACTATGGCAACGCCACACAAACCACGTTGGGACCCTTTTTTTTGTAAGAACTAAATTAATATCAGATTCTGCCAATAAAAGGGCTCTAAAACAATTCATATGTAAATATTTAGCATATTTATTGCAAAATCTCATTTTTCTGCTTTAGTGCTGCAACAAGGTTTTATTAATAATAAATTATTATACCTTTTGTTTTACTACAGCATCGGTAAGCTTCATGTGCACAGATTATTAAGGATGCTTGTTTCAGCTGTGAGATTAGACGATAGGATCAATGAAAAAATAAGTTGTCACACACGCCATGGAAACTTTCAGAGAATCCACAAATAGTGGCTTTCAAATGGTTTTGTTACTTTTTGCAAGTTTAGAAAAGAAGCAGATGAGACAGCATGTCTGATAATTTAGTTTTTCATCTGATAATATTAGAACATGTCAGTAATGTCTGAGGGGCTTTTATAAACACTGTATAACTAACACTCCTGGAGAGGGCATGAACTACACAGAGGCTTCTGGGGAGCCCAGTTATGGGGTGGGGGTGGGTGGGGGCATTTTGCCTTGGCCCCCAAAATGTCTTGAAACGGCCCTGGGTGTGTGACAGAGTTTTGAAGGTGATCTGAATTGTATCAGATGTATAAATATGACATGTGTATAACTTATTGTTTTATACAGGTAAAAACGTGTAGTGGAGATAAATCTACCTACATTTTACTTTTCAACACTTTGCTTAGTTTTCTTGTTTTTATTGAACTATTTTCCTGCCCTGTCTGTCTCTCATCTTCCTGCATCTCCTCTAAACTCTCCAGAAAAAACTGCTGCCTGGATTCTTACTTTTTCACCTCATCAGTTACTTTTCAGCAGATCAAAGGGATCTCCTGACCGCAAAGCGGAGTGCGCCTTTCGTTGCTGCGTCAGTGAGGTAAAATCACCGCAGTGCAGGTGATGAGCTGCGCAGTAGCAGAGCGCTTCAGGCACAAATAAGACAGAAAATAGAGAACATGTGCGGACATGAACGATCGTGTGCTAATTATAGTTTTTTGGTTGCGCCACTTTGAGAATGGACCGTGCGCTGGAAGCAGCTGCCTGGAGCGCTGCGCAAGAACGCGCTGTGCCGCTCTCTGTGCTCTCTGCTCAAAAGAGTCCATAAATGATGTAATATAGGTAGAAAACTTGTTTCCGGCTCCCCTGGATGTGTAGGATATACAACTCCCCCATAATTCGATCCCTGCTCCTGAATGAAAAGCTGGACATTTTCATCAATACGACCGCGGACCCCCAGTCCGGACGCCCGGACAGAGAGTGAAAAGTGGACATGTCCGGGGAAAACCGGACATACGGTCACCATAGTTTAATATAATGCGAGAGATTACAGATATGCCTACAGTATTTTGCTCGTGCTCTTGCTGCCCTGGGCCCCTTAAGAGTTCGTGGGCCCTGGGCAATTGCCCAGTTGCCCATATGGTTAATCCGGCCTCGTCACTATATATACACTATTTGCAGAGTGATGTTTTGCTGCTTAAACTCTGCTTGAGGTGCATTTTTGTCATAAGATGTAATGCCATATGTTTTGTTCTGTACTTTTGAACAACTCTGTTGGTCAATAAAGGGAGAAAACGAATGTCTCCACAGTAGGACAAAGGTACATCTACCCGTAATCTTAATAAAAACAGATGGGTGCATGGCAGTGACCTCATTAAAAGCGCCGGTTAGATTAGCCGCGGCTAGTCTGTTCACACCTAGAAATCCCAGACTCGCTCCAAACGAACAGGGGAATCATGTTAATGATTCCTAACAAAACCTTTCGACATTGAGATGATTTGGTGCAGATAATGTCTTATTTCGAGGCTGCACCTTGGGTGCCCATCCGCACCCGTTATATGGATATACACTGATGGCGATTCGCCGATGGATCTAAATACCCCGGGAAATCCAAGTAGCACCAAAGTTGTCAGCGTGAGTAAACAAACGTACTGCATGCTAGAAATTAAGTCCGGGTTGCAATAAACGGGAGTTTCCTTTAAGCACATAAGCTTGAATATACAACTATGTATCGGACTTGGTATGCTAATTAAGTTGGGCTTTGAAGCGCCTCCCAAATTCGCTGTTTATGTTTTTGTTTATTTATTTGGCAGACAAAACTTGGATTGGAGACAACTCGCGTGGGAAATTGCAATGTAGCCATGCGGCGTCTTCGTCTGTTTGTCTAGGAGGCGGAGGCTGCTTTACGGCATCTGGCTGTCGTACGTGTCGGTGTACTTGAAGAAGGCTGTGTATAATAGTCCATAATATCGATACCACAGGGATGGAATATCTAATTTAGATACCACTTTTTGCATCGATTTATATCTAGGTATCGATTTTTTTGACAACACTAGTAAGAGTTACAGCCACAGCATAGAGACATGCATTTTGTCCATAAAAATTATAAAAGGATCAATTCAGATACTCTGAATTTTCTTTTCTTTTAAAGGATGGTGGCTGGTCTGTGGCTGACAGTGGATGGGAAGGAATATCGGCTTGATCCAGCGTAATGTATGGACTTAGCCCTGAAACAGAACTGGGGCTGGGAGCAGGGCGCTGGAATAGCAGCTGGAAGAAAAGCTGGGTCATTTGGGAAAGCAGATGACAGCTGTTTGAGTTTCTGCTGGTTAGTGAGGGAGGGGTAGGGGCTGGGGATGGAGTAACTACTCTCCAGAGCCAGCTGTTACTCCTGATCAGTGATGGAAACTAACCTTCTATAAATACTAGGAGACAGATGGTTAAAACTAACAGGACATGAAACTGGACAAAAACAGTAGGTGCTGTAGCTGCATGAGCTGATGGAATGTCAGCAGATAACACAAAAGTTGTTTATGACTCAGTACTGAGCCCATGTAATCCGGTTATTGACAGAAAAAGTTCAAAAGGATTTTAGTGAAGAAAAAATGCAGGTCCAATACACTAAGGAACTGACACTTCTCACTGTCAATTTAATTTCTCTATATTTTATCAAAGTGGTTCAATTACATTTCAGTATAAACTGAATTGCACAAAATTGCAACTAAAGATCTGAGAATGCATTTGGTATTTTCTCCAATTACAAGAAATCATATTTTTGTTTATTTGGTACTTGTCATTACGTCGTTTCAGGAACTAGCAGAATTCCAGATCAGAGGAGAGCTTAACACGGCAGGATTTGTTATCTTATTTCCTGATATTTGGACTCCTCTCCTCTCTGATTGGCTACTAGCAACTCAACATTACTACCGGCTCTGTTTGATCTGTAATGTTGATGTTTTATCTCAACAAATAACTCAAGGAGTTCTGCTGTGTGGTGGAGTTGCTAATGCTAATGGTTAGCGAGCCAAGATAATCTCTGCCAATTCCTGGACGCTAAACCAAACACAGCCTTCCCCGTCGTAAGTCAAAACGGGTGAGTCCATGAATGTTAAGTGACAGTGTGACGTAGATCTGTCAGGCTTTTGAAATCCTTAAGTTTTGCCTTCTGTTTTATTAATCAGTAGCTAATGCAGTAGATAGGTGTGAGAGACCATTTCCATGTTCTGCCTGAGAGTAACTGATAAAAATCCGTAATAATAATCCCACAAAAAGGTTTCAGTGTTCCACACCTTTAACGTGTATTTGATAAAAAAAGTTAAAGTTAAAGTTCCATTAGTTGTCACACACACTGATGTGTGTGCGAAATTTGTTCTCTGCATTTGACCCATCCCCTGGGGGAGTGGTGAGCTGCAGACACAGCCGCGCTCGGGAACCATTTGGTGGTTTAACCCCCCAATCCAACCCCCTTAATGCTGAGTGTCAAGCAGGGAGACACTGGGTCCCATTTTTTCAAAGTCTTTGGTATGACCCGACCAGGAATCGAACCCTGATCTCCCAGTCTCAGGGCAGACACTCTACCACTAGGCCACTGAGCTGGTAAATGGCCAGTACCATCATGGGCTGTGTTCTACTGCTGTAGATCCGTACAATCAGAACAGATTTGGGTAAATGAGCTTTTCATTTTTTACTCCTTTTAGATGGAATAAACTTAAGAAGGAAGTAAACATTACAAAATAGATTTCTTTAGGTCAATTTACACGACTTTTAAAAGATCAAGACATTGGGCAAACATGCTTTACATGCCGAATGATTGTTTTCTTGGTTTGTCACTTGGTTTTTGTAACATTAGACTACATGTAATACACCAGGTCCTCTTACAAATGAGATTGATATCTCAATCAGTTAAAGGAATAATAGTAACTAGAACCATGCAAAAGAAATTTTAAAAAG